CCTGCAGGGAGAGGGAGGGTCAGCGCGGCCCCGGGGGCCCCGTCAGCTGGGTGGCATCACCCCGTCCTGCTGCGGCAGGCTGCTCGCCCACGGCACCGGGACTTCTGTCCCCTCACACCCCAAAACAGCGAGGCCTTTTCCCGGTCTGACATTTAGGGTGGGGAGGAACGCCTGTGCCTTCGATAAGGAGGGCTCAACGGGCAGAGCCGAGTCACAAGGAGGGGAAAATCAGCCTCTGCGGGTGCACTAAAGGGGGGGGGGGGCCCCTTCCCGAATCTGGAGCCCCACAAGGCAAGAACAAACCAGTACCAGCTCCCCTGGAGCTCACCCCTCCGCCTGGCACCGCTCTCCTGCCGCCCGCCACCACGCACCGGCTCTGCCTCACCTCTCCGCCTCCTCCTCCGTCACCTCCTTCCTCCGGGGCAGGCTGCTGTTGTTGTTGCGGGTCATGATGTTGTTGCTGGAAAAGTTCTTTTGAGACTTCACGAAGCTGCTGCTTTCACTGTCCTCATTTGAGGTCGCTTTGACAACGTTGCTAAGGAAGAGGATGAAGATCTTTTGCTCCGCCTGGCCCCGTCCTGTGTCAAATCCGCACACAGACACGGGGTCCAGCCCCCAAGCCAGGACCTCACCACGCTTACTTGAGGGAGCTGGGTGCCTGGTTGGAGCTTTTGGGCACAGGGCCCTTCTCAGCGGTGGAGTAGTTGTTGTGCACCATGGTGGTGACACAGTTGCCCATCGCGCCTTTGTTGCTCCTTTTGTGGAGAGAAGACGAGGCGTTAGGGCTTGCTGGATGCGAAGGGGGCAGCCCACCCCAACGCCGGGCACTCCCTGCATCCCAACCCTCAACCCACCCGCGACATCTCCCAAGGTGAGGAGGGGCAGGCGAGGCCTCACAAGCGACTCGCCCGCTCTGCAGGGCCGGCTGCTCGCTGACGCGCAGACAGACAGACAGACGCAGCCCGAGCAGACCTAACAGCCTGCTCTTCAGGTTGTTCTACACGCAGCCTCGGCGCAAGCCTCTCCTGGCCCTGAAGGGTTCGAGTTTTACCCGTTCCCTTTCCTAAAGCAAGAGCGGCCTCCCCAACGCATCCATCAAGCTCCCGCGCGGCTTCCGAACGTGTCCTGCCCAGCCAGCCCGGCACGCCGACGTGGGTCTGCCCCATGCTTGACCCCCGCGCCCTGGCAAAGGCAGAGCACCAGCACCCCCTCCTCTGCCCGGGTGTTTTCTCAGCAGAATTCCTCCCGACACCAGCCCGGCTCCGCTTCAGCACCTCCTCTCCTACCTGTTGTTGGCGGTGAAGTTGGCTGCCAGGAGCACGGTGGCTTCTTTCCTCCTCATGCCCGCCGGCGGCTCGACGCCGCGGGGGCCCGGGAACGCTCGCGGCTGATCGTCCTGCCACGGAGGCAGCAGGCGTAAGCGCCAAACCCACGGCCTCGAACACCACCCTCTTCCTTCACGAGCCAGTTTCTCCCCCCCTACGCCAGAAATCTCTGTTCCACAGCACGGCAGCCTCGAGGCTTTGCCGGCGCCTCCGCCCGCCTCCACCAGAAGCCAGGAGTGTGGAGGTGGTGGGCCAAAAGCCCTGGGCCAGAGGTAAGGCCAGCGCGGGCTAGAGGACCGGCCGAGCACGTTGGCCACCCAAACCGTGCCAGCTTTGACCGCGGGCTGAGGAGGGACCAGCCTGGCCGTCACAGCTGAGCTGTACCACCCCGCCCTCGGGTCTCGGGAAACCCTCCCACTCCTCCACCAAACACAACCAACTCCTCAGGCAGGCAGAGCTGACAGCCCACCCGCCCCAGGACGTCCCCGTCCTCACCAAGATGTTCCACGTGGTTTTCTTTTCTGGGGAGGTTTTGCTCAGACTCGCCAGTTTCTTTCTTCCCCCAGAACCGCTCTCCAAGAAGGTGAGGAAGTCTCCCGTCTGCTCTGAGCTTTAACCCGGACCCAGGGAAGGCAGAGGAGAGGAGACAACACGCGTGCTGGAGTCAACATCGCGCGCGGACCAACGGCAACGGGACAGCGGCAGCAGGGTTCGCGCCCTGCCCTGCCCTGCGGTCAGAGCGCGCACAGCTCGGAGCCCCGGCACACCTATCGCCTGCCGCCACGACGCGGAGGAGGAGAGGGACGGGGAAACATCACGCAGCCACGAAATCTAGGCACGATTCGCTTTCACACAGGGCTTTAGATTTCAGCGTGACGTGCGGAGATGGAATATATTAGGGATGGGCACAGGGCAACGAGAGAACGGAAAAAAAATCACGATTCAGAGACAGCGCCAGGAGGTCACGGGAGACAGAAGGAGAACTCTTCATCTCCTAACAGCCCAGCTACGGTCCACAGGGTCCCTGAGGGGCTGCTAGGATTGAATGGCCCTCTCCCTTGAAATTAGATTGCGCGCCTTCTGTGACAGAAGTTTCCCAGACACAGAAATACACTCTCTTTCCCCAAACCCTAATTAAGTGACCTTCCCTCTGAAAAAAAATTTAAAAAAAAAAGCCAACAAGACCCCACTCCTTGGCTTTCCAAGGCCGGGTTATAACTGCCGATGTGTCTGACAGAGCTTAATGCGGGTTTTTGAAAGGCTCTGGTTCCCTCAGAGGACAAGAGAGGTCAGACAGACGGGTGGGGTTTCACACAGTCCCCTCCCCGGGACAGACGGACAGGCTGGAGCTGTACCTGCGCGAGCTGTTCACCCGCTGGTTAACCTGCGTGGTGCTGTTGGACCTCCGGAGGTTGTTCATCGCCCGGGATCCCGCATCTTCCTGCGGGAGGAGAGAGTTAAATTCAGCAGCAGTGTTAAGAAGCAGCAGGGGCAGGCTCCCCCCCTCCACCGCGGATGTGTCCCACATCTCCACGGCTGCCAAGCTCTCCCTGAGGCAGAGTGTAGTGACACCTCAATCCCTCTCGGGCTGCTGGCGCTGCTGCTGAGCCAGCAGAAACGCTTTCGTTTGTGTGAGCTCCCCAGCTGAGAAGGGCTTGTGCTCGTTACCTGCCCTAGGAACGAGCGCGGAGGAAGACTGCCAAGGCAGCAGGGATTACTCAGCAAAGAGCACAGAGACTCTCTGCTTCTAGGTCTTATCAGAGCCCTGTAAGCACCTGGGCTGAAAAAAAAACACTCACAGAAACCCCCACTCAGTGAGAAACTGAATCCCCAGCTCCTGCTGACCCCAGCAGGAACGGAGGGTGCTTAGCAAGGAGCAGGCCGGGCCTGAAAACACCGCAGCATCCAGCAGAAGATACCGGGAACTCGGGAGTTTCCAGAAGGAAGTCAGCGCAGGGAGGTGAAGGGCAAGGAAAGGAGCTCTCCTGCCCAGGACTCACCGGAGCGTTCCTCTTGGGTTTGCCGTCGGCGGTGACCGAGACGGAGCGTGCCACGTGCTTGGCGGGAGAGGCGCTGCCGGGGCGCCGCGAGACCGGCGCCGGGAGGCCGGTGAGGCTCAGATCCACGCTGCCAGAACCGGCGCCCTGGAAGGAGGAGCTGCCGCGGGTGCTCTTCATCCTCGAGCAGAGAGAAGGGGCCCTGGGAGCGGAGAGCAGGCGGGGAGGCGAGGGCGTTTTGTAGCCGCACGCTCCGCTCCCACCAAACGCCGGCACGCAGAGCCGTAACCGTTTTCAAACCGGGTTGGTATTTCCACTTGCCAAATAACCCTGAGCACGAGGCCTGGAGAGGCTCCACGTGAGCTCCGCGCACCCGCAGCTCTCTCCTTGCTGCTTTGACCTAACGCCCCGGCCATCCCGTGTCCTGCTGCCCCGTTTAGGGGCCGGGACGCTCGCTCCGAGGCCAGGGGGCAGCTAAGGCAGCTGAGAAAAACCCCGCTCCTCTCCGCAGGGATTTAGTAAAGGATCCTGCGAGCGCAGAGCAGCCCCTTCTGCTGAGGCCGGGGGCTCGGCTCACCCAGCGCCCAGCCTGGGGCAGCTCCAGAGGAATCCTTCCCCCACCCAGCACTCCCCGTTCAGAGCAGCCGTGCCCCCTCTGCGGGGGCCGGGGGGGGCCGAGCCCCTTCCCAGCCCCGGCCCCCGCTTCACCCCTTCGCACACACCGCCCCGCCCCCCCCCCCCCCCCGCCGCCGACGTCGCTTTATTTCTTCACCTCCCGCTACCCAAACCATCCCCGAACGCGCCGCCGGTTCTGGTTTCGGCCCCTCGCGGGGCTCCGCCGGAGACCGGGGCAAACAAAAGGCCCTCGAGGGAAGCCCCCGGGGAAAACGGGGCTCAGGACCCCCAGGACCGACGCGCGAGGGGCTCCAAGCAGCGAGAGGGGCCCCGAGGAGGGTGAGAGGGGCCCCGAGGAGGGTGAGGGGGACCCGCACCCCGGCGCCCATCGTCCCACGCTGCCGCCCGCCCCCCCCCAGCGCCCCGGGGGCCGTTACAAGGCCCCGGACCCCCCTCCGGTTCCCCCCCCCCCCCCCCGCTCCGGGGCCGACCCCGCGCTCGCTCCCGCGCAACCTACCGCCGCCGCGCGCACCGCCCCGCCCCGGCCGTTGGGCGGGGCCAGGCGGCGACCAATCGGAAGGGAGGGAAGGGGCGGGGAGAAGAGCGGGGGGGTGGGAAGAGGGCGGGGCGAGGGGCGGGACCTGGTAGAGATCGTGCGTTGAGTGGGCGTGGCCTGTTGCGGAGGGAGGGGGAGAGGGACGAGGCCTGCTGGATTTGGTGTCTGTGTGGGCGTGGCGTAGCGAGGAGGGACGGGATCTCATGAATTTTGTGTGGAGTGGGCGTGGCCTGATGAAGAGGGAGGGGCGAGTGTTAAATTTGGTCTGCGGGTGGGCGTGGCCTGTTGAGGGTGGGTGGGGAAATGGGGCGTGGCCTGCTGGAGAACGGGGGGCTGAGGCGGGGCCTAGAGAGGAACTAGCCATAGGGAAGAGGCGAGGGGCGTGGCTAAGGGGGAAGGGGCGGGGCTTGGGGATGGGGCGGGGCTTGGACCGTAGGGCAATGGGTGCCGTGGGGCAGTGGGAGCTGTGGGTCAAGTCCCAGCAATGGCGCAGGAAGAAGTCAGAAATTCCCAGACCCGCGCGTGGGGTTTATTGGTGGGTCCCGGCCCCCCCGGGCCGGCACCTTCTCCTGCCAAGGCTGGAGGGCACCCAGGAGCACCCCACGGCCGTGCCCCCGCCAGCTCCGCCCCGGTTCCCCCGCGCAGCCCGGCCCCACGAGGGGCAGCAGCAACCAGCCCCGGGAAATGGGGGACTTTTGGCCAAAAAAAAAAAAAAAAAAAAAAAAAACCAAAAAAACAAGGAGAGGGACATTATAATCTTATCACAGCCCTGGCCGCCGCGGTCATTTCACACCCCGCGTCCCCTCGGCAGCCCCCCGCCCCTCATCCCTTTTGTTTTTCCCCGGGGTGCTGTGGGGTCCCCGTCCCCACCAAGCTGCCCACGGGGAGCCGTGGCACAACAGGCCCCTCGGGGGGGGGTGGGGTGGGGGCAAAGCCCCCTGCAGCCCCCACCCCGGGGAGCCCGACAGCAGCTACATGTTGAGAAAGGCGAAGGCCGACGGCTGCCGGCTGCCCTCTGCGTCCATTTGTCTGTCCTCAGGCCCGGACCGTGTCCGTGGCTCTGCCGGCGGAGAGTCCGGGCAGAGCACCGCGCCGGGACGGGCCACCAGCTCCATGCCGGCGAAGAGGGACAGGCTGTGGGAGGGCACAGCGGTGACCACCGTGTCCCCGGCCAGCCGGCTCGTCACCTCCGGCTCGCAGGGACAGGCTGGCACTGCGGCACCCGGCTGCTCGGGGGTCTCCGCTTCCACCCCTTCCTCCTCGCCCCGCGCCGGCGCGGCCGGGGGGAGCGGGGCTGGGCTCAGGGGGGTGAGGATGCTCTCGCCTGTCAGCGGGGGGATGTCGGTCAGCAGGTCCCCGGCACACGGGGCTGAGCCCGCGGTGAGGGCGGAGGGGTCCGAGTCCAGGGGTGCGCTCTTTGGGGGGGGCTGGCCTCGGCAAAGAGCCTCAAACTGCCGCAGGATCTGGGAGGAGAAGAGGGGGACGGGCAGGAGTGAGAGCGGGGTGGGGAAGGGGGCCCGGCCCCAACGCCTTTTCCCAGTGTTGGGGAACAGCCCCGGTGCCCCCGCCCAGGGCTTTGCCTCCCAGGGAGGGAGCATCACACCCGCCAGGCTCCTGGGGAGACGGACAATTCCCACCCCTCTGGGACACACACGGACACACTCCATGTCCCCGAGGATGGGCACAGGGAGAGGGCACAGGGCCACCCCAGAATTCACCTTCGTTGCTCGGTTGGCGACGGGGCCGGGGCTGCCTTGGCTGAGCTGCTGCAGGTGCTGGCGAGTCACGGCAAAGATCTGGTCCAGGGAGAGCAGGTCGGAGCACATGAGGGAGGAGATGGCGCACATGGACCTCTGCGGGGAGGTGAGAGCGGCTGAGCCGGGCAGGAAAGACAAACGGACACCGAAAGGCCCCGGCTGGGCGGCGCTTCTTCCCCCTGTCCCTCCACCCCATCCGTGCCCACCAGCACCGGGATTGCCCCGCGCTCACCATGCGGACGCTGTCGCTGGGATCCTCCAGCGCCCGGCCGAGCAGCTCCAGCACCACCTCGCAGTTCAGCAGCCCGCACCTGGCCGAGGGGAAGGGGGTTACGGCCGCACGCGGCTCCCACCGCCCCAGGAACCGGCCGGGAGCGGGCAGCCCTCCCGCCCGGCAGCGTTTCAACCCTGGAGATCCAGGCCAAGGCAGCCAGGAGGGGTGAGAAGGGCTCAGGCTGGCCCCCTCGAAGCCCACGGTCCCCGGGAGCGCTCGCCTCAGGCACTTACTCCTTGACGAAGTGCTGTGCTTCCTCCCTGGTGAGGAAGACCCTGGCACCGCGGGTCAGCGCCGACACCAGGCTCACCTCCCGCACGCAGTCGCCCAGGCTGTCAGCATCCACCCTGCTCGGGGAGATGCCTTGGTGAGGACGGGTCCCAGCACAGACCCCACCACCCTCCTGCGGGCAGGGGGTCCCCCCCCCATCAGCTCTCCCCTGCCCGTGGCTCTGCCCACCCACGGGCGGCCCGTTCTGGGAGGCCAAACATGCCAGGAGGGATTCAGCCCGGCAGTGCCAAGGGACTCAAATTAAAGGTGTGGAAAACGAGGGCACCGTTCCTGGAGATGAGGGAAGCACCTCAGAAGCTCCCAGGGGAAGGGGAGCTCCCCACGGCCCCGTCCTCACCTCTCGGCCGCGTGGCTCAGCTCCCGGCTGGCCCCGGAGTGGCTGTCGCTGCCCGATTTGCTGCAGGAGTCCGAGGTGCGGCTCAACTCGCCGTTCCCCTGCGAGGAGTCCTGGGAGCTGTGCCCGCTGTCCGCCTCCTCCCAGCCGCCCCCGGCCAGCCCCGGCTGGTGCCTCACTGCAGAGACAGCAACGGCGGAGGTGCTGACCCCCCCTCCCCTAAACCAACCCCAGAACCTCCTGGGGAGCTCTGCCAGGCCCCCCAGCAGCGGCTGGGGGGGGCCCACCTCGGGTGCTGTGCGCTGCGGTGGGTGCTGGTGGCTTCAGAGCCCCCGCCGCGCTCCTGGGGGGCGAGGGGGCTCTCACGGGCTCGTAGGCGTCTTCGTGGAGCTCCCGGCGATGAGGCCGGGGCCCCTCCGGGGAGGGGAGCACGGCGTGGGCCACTGCTTCGGCCGCTCGCTGGATGGTGCTGAGCAGAGCTTCCCCCGTCGAAGCTGGGGAAAGGCCAGGGTGCCAGGCATTTCTGGGGGAGCCCCGCCCAGCCCCCCAGGAACCCACCGCCCTGCAGGGTGTCGTGAAGGGACAGCGTGGACCTGCCAGCAGGGAGGAGCGGCCCTGGCAGCCGGGTTCCAGGCACAGCCCAGATTTCTGGGTGGACAAAGGCGGGTGAGGAAATCCCAGGAGCTATGGGGACAGGGTACAAGCCAAACCCCATGTCCCTGTCACACATCCCAGCAGGGAAGGACCCGGCAGAACCCCCTGCTGCCAGCCCCAGAGCCACACCGGCAGCCCCAGCACCCGTCCAGACGGCTCAGGAAAGGGGAGGGCTGCACAAAACAAAAGCTCTCTGCTCTGAGCCACCCAGAAACACCCACTCTACAGAGAGAAACATCCACTGTGGGAGCCAGCAGCCAGGTTTGGTGTGTCTGAATGCTGGGAGCCTGGTCTAATCCCAGGCAGGACCCCCGCGGCTGGACAGTACCGGGCAGGGGACCGACGCGGGGTGAGGGGCAGCACCGGGCAAGGCCACAGCTGAGGACTTACCGGAGCCGCTTTTCTCACTGCTGAAGCCAAATCCTTGCAGGGAGCCGCAGGGGCTGGGGCTGGAGCCCATGCCTGGGGGAGGCAGAAGGCACGTTCAGAGGAAGCACAGGCATCCGGGGTCTCCCTCCGCTGCTGTTCCTCCCCCTTGCAAGCACAGGGGAGAGCCTGGGGCAGCCGGGGCGTCCCGCTGCTCCCCCAGGCATGTTTTTCCCTCTGACACAGCACCCCACAGTCCCCCAAGCCAGGACAAACCCAGAGAGCAGTGCCAGGGCCTGCAGCGGGGCAGAGGAAGGTGCCAGGCACCACCGCACCCTGCCCTCACCCCAAACAGCCCCCCCCTCCACGGCCAGCAGACCCTCTGCACAGCCACGGCTCCAGCCGAAGGGACCATCCCAGTGCTCCCAGCACGGCCCACAGGAGGTGACAGGGCCATGGGGGACCCGCACTCACCCGCGGGAGGCACGGGGCGGGCAGGCAGCGTGGCAGGCTGGGGCAGCGGCGCATCCGAAAAGATAAGGCCGGCCAAATCCTGCCGGGAGAGACGGGGTGTGGGCAGAGAGCTGGGGAGCGCCCGGCCGGGCCCCGAGGTGGGTGGCTGGGAGGCAGAGCTGCCCCACCAGCCCGGGCAGGGCCCGAGCACTCTGCTCAGTGCAGGCACTCACCTGCGCAGCCACCCGGACCTTCTGGTTCAAGCTGTTGCCGTGGAGGGGATCTGGGGGGCCGGTGAATGCTGCAAGGCACGAGGTTGGGAGGGCTGGGGGACGCTCAGCTTCCAGGCAGGATGGGGCAGGACCCCAGCCCCTGCCAGTGCTCAGTCTGTGGAGCAGCCCTGGGCTCACAGCCTCCGCCCCCCCCAGCCAAACTGGGCTCTTCAGCACCGCTCCCCATTGCCCCCCCGTTCCTCACCCCATTACCTGCTGCCTCCCGGATGAAGCAGGCGTTTCTCTTCAGCTGCAGGACGAAGTGAGGGGAGCCCTGGGCGCAAGTGTGCACCAGAATCTTCAGCACCTGCGGATGCGGGAGCTCGGGGGTGAGGAGGCCAAGCTGTGGTGGCCCTGACAGCCCCCAGCCCATCACCGTGGCCCCCGGGGGCTCCTCAGTGGGTGGGGGGGAGCCCAGCAGCAGCCACCCCCCGATTTACCTTCAGCTTGACACGGCAGGAGTTGCTCTGCAGCCGGTTGAGGAGATATTCCAGCAGGCACTGGCTGCTGCCGGGCGACTCGTGGGAGATCTCTGGGGCGGGGGGTTAGGGATCCTGCTGCCCCCCACAACTGGGACCACAGCCCCCCCCCCCCCAGCCCCCAGCCCCAGCGGGACCCCCGGCTGCCCCTGCCCAGCCCCGTGGTCCCCTGGCACCCCCGGAAGGATACTGGCGATCTCCTCAAACAGGTACCCAGGGCAGGGGACGTCGTCATCCGCCGTGCCCCTCAGCAGCACCGGCAGCTGGAGGAGGAGGAGGAGGAGGAGGAGGAGGAGGAGGAGGAGGAGGAAGGCTGGCGTGAGAGGGGCCGGGCCCGATCCCGGGTAAGACCAATGTAGAGCCGCCCCCCCCCCCCCCCCCCCCCCCCCGCCAGGACCGTACCGCTGCACTGACATCACAGCCCTCGCAATACGTGATGTCACGCCTATGACGTCAGCGTGGAAGGCCAGGGCCCGGGAGGCCGTGGCAAGGCCGAGGAGCTCCGGGCTCCGACAGCGCGGAAGGTGGGAAGGGGCGGCGGTGACATCACGGGGGGCGGAGTGACGTCACACCCTCAGGCAGCGCCCCCACACACACACCCCCCCCCCAATCCCACACACACCCCCACTCCCGGCGCGTACCCGGCTCAGGAAACTCAACCGGTCTCTCAGCGGCGCCGCCATGACACTCCGGCACCGGCTCTGCCCGGCCCGCAAACGGCGTCGTGGCTCCGCCCCCCGGAAGGCGCAACACACCAATGAGAGTGAGGAATGAGGCCGCTCGACCAGTCATCGGCGAGAGGAGGCGGGGCTCCTAGCGGAAGTGGCCGCCAAGGCTGACGCCGGCGGCGAAAGGGAAGTAAACAGCCGGCATCTCCGCCAATCAATAGGGGCTCGGGAGGTGGGCGCCGACTGCAACCAATCCACGCCTTCGGCAGGCCGACGGGGGACGACCTTCCCCCACCACCCAATCACAGAGCCGGTTCGCTATGATAGGCGTTCCGCGCCACCGATCTCCGAGCCCTAGGGGGGCGGGCACCCGCAGTCTCCCAACGGGAGGGCGCAGCGCCATTTGACGGGCGGCCCGGGCGGCCAATCGCGATGGTCCCGTCATGGCGGCGCCCAGCGATGTCCGGCCGGGGCGTGTGGCTACGGACGCGAGCGCGGCTGCGGCGCTTCCCCGAGCTGCTGGCGGGTTGCGGGGAGCAGGTGGGGGCCCGGGGGGGGGGGGGGGGGGGTGGAACCGGGGCCGGGCCGGGCCACATCCCGCGGCCCCGGCGCTCCCCTCCCGCTCCGTATCGTTCCCCGCAGGCGGCTGCCTACGGGCGGTGCGTGGCGGCGGCGGCGGCCGGGCCGGCGGAGCTGCGGCGGGACGACTGCCTGGAGGAGTTCCGGGCGCTGCGGGAATGCTTCGCCCGGGCGGTGAGTCCCGGGAGGGGGGGACGGGGCGGGGGGCTGAGCGGCCACCCCGGCCCCCGGGGCCTCACCCCGGCCTGAGCTCCCCCCCCCCCCGGTTCTTTGCAGGCGAAAGCGACGGCGAAGTGACCCCGCGCACCCACCTGAAGACGCTTTGGAAAAATTAAAAAAAAAAAAAAAACGTCCAACCCGACCCACTTTGTCCTTAAATTGCAGGATAAAGGGCGAGGCGGGGCAGGAGGCATCTAGCAGAGCTCGGGTCGCTGGTCGCTGCCAGGCTCCGGGGGCTGCTGGAGGCTCAAAGCTGCCCTGGGGGGGTCGCGGAGACCGAAATCCGCCCCCCCCCCCCTTACCCGCAACCAACCTACGCTTCTCAGAGCCTTTTCCTCCTCTCTGCAACCGCAGTCCCGCGTGCAGACCCATTTCCCGCATTCACACCCGTTTCTCACATCCAGACCCGTTTCCCAGCTCTTATTTTCACCCGACAGCAAAATTCCCTCCGACGGCGGCAGGAACCGCGGCCCCGCGGTGCCGAGTTCCGCGCAGGCTCCAGCAGAGGCGAGACAGGACACCGGGACCTCGGGAAAGAGCCGGACGCTTCGGGACGGCAGCCCCGCTGCTGAAGGCTCCCGCTCCGGCAGCAGCTCTGCTGCAGCTGCTTGATCCCCTGAATATCAAATTAAGACGTTTTCCTCCCCACGCCTGGCCCCGTGTGCGAGGGCAGCGGGAGGATCGCAGCCTCCCCTCCTCTTCCCCAGCAGCAGGGAGGAGCAAATCCCAAAGAAAGCACAAAAGCCTCTTTTCCTACAGCAACGTAACTCCCTGCAGGCACAGAGCAAAGCAGACGCCGCTGCCTGCCCGGTGGCTGAGCAAGGCTTACAGATTTTTTTTTTTTATTATTTATTTAAAGATAATTCACATCAAAATGCTTCAGCTTACTTTATTGATGAGCTCAGCCTCCCCTCCGCGCTCTCCCGCCAACGCTCGGCCCCAGAGGGAGCAGCAGGCAGAGGTGACGCAGCTCCTCCCGGCTTCCAGCCCGTCCCCGCTGCTGAGGAACGGCAGGAGCATCTTTGGTCCTTTTTGTGTTCACACAGACGACGCCAAAGAACAGAGGCAGGTTTGGCAGCGCGGGGCGGGAGCCTGCCTTCACCCTACCCGCGACAGCCCAGGCCAGACCCTGGCAGGCAGCAAAGGGTGAGAAGAGGCAGATCCAGCTCCTGCTCCGGCTCCCTCTCGCTCTAGAAAGGCTGGTTGGTGCCGCAGGGGACAAAGCAGGGACCCGTCTCCCCGCTGCAGGTTTAAGAGACGTGATCCGGAGCGAGCTGCCGTCGCTGCCCCGGCAGACGGAGCGGCTCCAGGACTCCCGGCCCCGTTTGCTTGTGCTTTAAGACAGCGTAATGGAGAAGCTCACTTGTACGATGGGGGGTCCTGAGGGTTAAGGCCGTGAGAGTCACGGGGAAGGAGCGCGGGTGGTCCTCCTGAAGAAGTACGCCCGAGTCCGCGGCTGTTGCCCTGTGGCTCTGTGTCATTTTAATGAGAAATTAAGACGGCGTCCTTTGAGCAACAGGCCCACGCCCCAGGCAGGCGGCAGCAGAGTTCCCGAGTGACCAGGACCGGTGTGACAGTCCCGCGTGTCCGATAACGACCCTGGCTCCGCGAGGCCCCGTCGGACACGAACACCACGAGGCTAGTTTGCCAAAGACACACTGAGATACGGATATAAAAACCACCACAGTGATGAGGTCTGTAGACTCCAGGCTGGGAAATTTCAGCCATTCTAGTGAGAGCTTTGGGATTTGATTTCTTACATTCGCAAGTCAGGATGTAAAAACACACACAAAAAAAAACAAAGGGATGAATCACTGTCTGGGAGCCTGAAACGAACCAGGGCTCTCATAGACGCTCTTCCTTTCCTCCCTCGTAAAATATATTTCCAGGGGCGGAGTACTGACATCTATGGATGTAAAATGCAGCGCAGAGGGGGGCTGGGAAGAACACACAAAACAAACACGCTCCACCGCGTTACAGAGAGAAGAGGTAGGTATGCTTGAGCCAAGCCCCCGAGTCCGCCCTTTTAAGCCACGTCTTTTGTTCCCAAATTAGTCATCTCTTGCAGAAAAATCCAGCTGGTTTGGGACGGGGGTGGGGAGGGGGGCAGTCTGCAACCCCCAGGGTTGAGCTTCATAATGCACTTTGGACAGGAGAAGTCAAGCTTGAAAGCACAGATGAGAGTTGAGCATCCGGGGAGGGTGGCGAGAGCAAAGCTCCGTGTTATTGCTAGTGTGTGGCCAACCAATTAAATCCCTGGGAGTAGAGGCAGCACAACAGCAGCAGTTGTGCCCGTTTAAGGCAGCGTTTCTACTAAACTAGGTTCCTAAACCACAACTATCTCCTAAACATGCAAGACTAACGGCTCCCATTTCAAGAGAAACACCAAAGCAATTGCCTAAGCTGGGCCCAAGCTCATGACTTGATGCTTCTCCGGAACAAAGCCTTTCCCGGAGGCGATCCGCGGTTCCCCTCCTCCCGCAGAGCCGGGGCCAAGCAACCCAAGGCAGGTACGGGGGACGCCGGTGCCAGCGGGCAGGGGAATCTCACGGAGGACCCCCTCGCTTCTGGAAGGGGAATCGCAAGCCGGATGGAGAAGGCAATTTGATATGAACGAGATGTTGAGAAAGGTCCTTGAAAGCTGGCCTGGCAGGGGACCGAGGTAGGCGGCAACCTCTGAAAGCCAGAGGACAGCGGGAGCTTTTCTTCCGTGGTTGCCGTCTCCTCAGCCACCTGCAGGCACGCGCGGGGAGGCGTTCCCATCGGAAAAGCCCACCGTCCCCTGGACGGTGCTCACAGGTCCGAGGAGATCCCGTGGGTCTAAGCACTGCGTCCGGCAAAAGTGCTGCTGGCTTAGGCCGACCGCTGCCTGAGCACCGGTGGTCAAAAAAAAAAACAGCTGGTTGACCCGAACCTTTCCCTGCCGAGCTCCTCAGCCCCCGCGCCTGCGGCCAACACCCGCAGCCACCCACCGAGCACGACCACCCCGCTCACACGCTCCCGTCCGCCTGCGTCATCTGCTTGATCTGCCGGCTGTGGACCACCTGCTGAGCCCCCTCCGCCACTTGGTTTAATCGCGTCTCTAGAGCACTCCGGAGGTCGTTTACTTTCACATCTGGAAGGGGGTTCAGGCCGATGAAGACCCCCGCCCCCCGCGCAGCCTCCTCCTCCTCCTCGGGAGGCAGCAGGTCCCGTCTCCTCCGGCGCAGGTCCAGGTCCGCCTGCAGTTTCAGGTCCCGGTTCGGTTTGACGTCGTGGTCCTGCTTCTGGTCGCCCTGGGCAGCTGCTCCTCTCTCAGGGCCTGGTTTCTTCTCGGCGTCCTCGGAGACCCCCCCGCCCCCGTGCCTCTGCTTGCCCCGCACACCTCCCTGCGGCTCCTGGGCCACCTCCGCCACGTTCTCCCGCGGAGCTTCCTCCTTCGTGTCCCCTTGGCCACCCAGGTCCCCCCGCCCGCCAGCACCCTCAGCTCCCTCACCTCGCTGCCGCTCCCGCAGGCGCCGCTCGCTCGCGGCCGCTCTGGAGGAGCCCAGCACGACTGCCAGGTCTTTGGGCTCCACCTGACTCAGTGCTTTGGCTTTAAGGTCTATTCCTGAGTCTCTTTCCAGACTCTTTCCCTGAACTTTGGCAGCCCCCAACTGTTCTCTTTGGATGGGAGCTGTAGCTACTTCCACGGCTTTCAGGGAATTCTTCTTCTCGTGGACGTCTCTTCCAGCTTTGGCTTCACGATCTCCTCCCAAATCCTCCGCCAAGGGTTTCTTTTCTAGGTGGTTTCTGGCTGCTGGAATGTGTTGGGCATCCCCGTGAAGGGGATCCCAGTTCTCCGCGGGATTTTTAACAGCTCTGTCATTCTCCTGTGGCAGCACCTTCCGCTCCTTGGGAGGAACCCCAGGAATCTCACGCCTGGGCCCAGCCTCTTCCAGCTTTCCTGCAGCCCCCCTGCGCTGCTCGGCAGAGTCAGCCGGCTGCCGGCCCGGGCTCTGCGCGGGGTGCTCCAACAGCTCTTTGCTGAGCAGCTTTGCAGCAGCTTCTTGTTTAGCTCCGAGGCCCTCGTCCTCCTTGCTCCTGGAGAGAGGCACGGCGGGCTCCTGCTGCGTTTCCGCTGCAGAATAAAAAACCGACACGTAAAAGCTTTTTTGCCTACCAGCGAGAGAGATTATTCCCTTCTCCTGCCACGACATTCTGCGCGAGAGGGGACAGGAGAAGAGGTCACAGCATCGACGGCCACGTGGGAGAGCAGGGTGAGCCGTGGGGGAGTGTTCAGGGGCCAGGGGCCCCCGCCTCGGAGGCCAGGGCCAGACACAGGAATGGCTTTTGCAGAGCGGCCTCTGCCACGCGCCGAAGGGACTCAGAGCTCTCCCAGTCCGATTCTAAAGCTGCTTTGAGCAGTGATCAGCCCACGGAGGGCTCACGCTCTTTGGTGATGTCCTTACCTTGCTTTGGCTTCTCCTCTCCTCCCTCCTCTTGCCTTTGCTGGTGGATCTCCTTGTGCTGCTCTTCAATCACGGCCAGCAGTTTTGCCTGCTGGTCAAGTAGCTGCTTCTGCTGTACCTGCTGTTCTTTGATCACCTGCAGCAGCACAGCATGATCAAGCAGGTTCGCCGGCCCCGCTTCTAGAAAAGGGAAAAAAAAAAAAGAAAGAAAAAAAAAAAAATCCATGACCCAAACCCCTCAGTAATCATCTCTCGGCGCTAGAGGGGCCGCAGGGGCTTTCCTCGGCAGGAAGGTCCTACTCTGCCAACACCACCCACTCGCCAGGAGGGAGGGAAGGACGCGGCACCGCTCCGGCGTACCTCCACCAAGGACGGCAGCCAAAAGCCCAGGGCGGCCGCTCGCTACCGCACGTGCCAACACGGGACGTTGCCCTCCCGAGATTTGGGTGGAGGGACCAAAACCAAGCTCCCGTTAACCGCCCGGGGAGAAGACGTGTGAAGAAAAGGCCCAGGGGAGCAGGGCTGCTGGGGGGCCCCCCGGCGCGGGGAAGGACGAGGTGGCTGCTCAGCACAGAGGGTGGGAGAGGACAGGACGGGGGCAGAAGTCGGTCGAGAGCGAGGGGCTCGGCTGCCCGAGCGAGACGAGCTGCTTTTAAAGCCGCCTGGGGAAGCCCCCAGGGCTGCTGCAGCTCAGCTCCCGAGATCAGCCAGGCTTCTCAAACTCCGATCCTCTCTGAATGCACTACAAAGGCTTCATCCCAGCTAAGGCGAGCCGGGGAAGGCCACAAACAACAAATGTGCAAATGTCAGGAGGAGCTGGAAGAAGCCAGCTAAGGCACAGCACCGGGAGCTGCCCTGAGGGAAACTACCCGCACGGTGGGATAAACCTGGGTGGAAACATCGACCCAACGCGTGAGGAACAGACTCTGAGCTGGGTCTTTTCAGGGAGCAAATCCTGGTTTACAGCCAGAGCGATGAGAAGCTACCGCTGTCTCTTCTCCTGGCTTAGCCAAGTGAAGGTCTAGCCTGGCCCACGGCAGGGAAACACCCACCGAACAATCCTGCCAAAGCTTTTGGCTTTGAGCACGGTGAAAGGGCTGGGATCCCGAGCAGCAACTAAAGGTTGAACGGCCCAGTGCTCCCGCGCGCAGCCGCGCAGGGGGTCGGGCAGGTGGAAACCGGAGCGGTGCAGAAGGGCAGCCCCACCTCCCGCCGAGCCCAGCCGCCGCCGCAACGGGGGGAGACCCCTGCCCGCACACCCAGCGAGCGGCCGGGCGCGCTGCGGGCCAAGACTCACGTTGAGTCACTCGCTGCAAGCGACACGTCACGCAACAAACCACGAGTCCCCCGCTCCGCACGGAAACGTCGCTGCCTTTCCTCCACCCGGACAGACACCCAGACGTACCCTGTCTGGAGGGTGTGAGCCTGTGTGCCGCTCGCCTCCCACACCAGCAAGCAGCTTTCCCCCAAAACTCGAGGTGTTTCTAGACTACTATGCCCCACAGGAAATAATGTCAAAATTAATAGCCTGTAAAATGCCATTTAAATTAAAAAGGGATGCTGTCCAGGTTAATCCTTCGCCAGCGTGCGCTGCCTCCCCCCTGTCCCGCTAATCACCCACAAGGTGATTACAGAGAAATATTTCCAGTTCACATTATGGCACTATTAGCCGAGGGCCCCTGGAATTCCCCTTCCACTCCATTTACAGAAAGCTGGGCTGCGAGGGGGAATTCAGTCATTTCAAGAGAGCAATTGACTTCTCGAGATCTGTTTATTTTTCGCACTTTGCTCAGAATAAACAATGAAAACAGAAGTCATTTCTACTATCTCGCTCTCTGAGCCTGCCAGATCCCAGCTCGGCATGGGAATGTTTGGGTTGAACACACAGCAGGCAAAGGTTTAGTGCCAAATCAAAGCGTTTCTCACCGAGAGCTCTGCAAACACGTGTAACCCCTGTATTTGTGCAGCACACCTCTTCCATACAAACAAAAGGCGACGCTATCTCCCAGCTCCTCCTTTGATCGTGGGGCAAGCAGGCCTCAGCCAGTGCTTTGGCTGGATTTTAACAGGCACTCTTCATAAAAAAAAAAAAAAAAACAAACCATCTAACACAATTACAAAATGAAAGCACCTGAGTTCACGTGGCCTGGGGCAGCCACAGTTGGAGCACCCAACGGTCGCGGTGAGGCAGCTGTTTGCAGAGAGCATCCAGGGAGCTGTGCGCCCTCCGCCCTGGTCCCGTGAAGCCTCTTCACCCTTTCCACCCTCTCCCAGCTTCTGGGTACGAAGCTCAGCTCAGAGGAGCAGAACAAGCCCAGAGCACCTTTGGGTGACATCCTGCCGGGAGAGCAGCCCCGGCAAGTCCCACACAAACTGAGATGGAAACCCTCCCGGAAACTCAGGTCCCTTCATCCTCCTTGAAAAGCGCAGAGTCCTCACAGTCCATACCCACCACTAGCTTTTTACGCTCAGTTTTTAAAGTCCCGTTGCCATACAGAACGGAAAGAAAAGAATTAGAAAACCAAGGTGTAACCACTGCAAAACAAAGAGGAGGCCGACGCGCTCCCCGGGAGCCGAGCCTGCCCGCTGCCATCGCCCACCGGACCAAACGCCCGTCCCCTCCAGACCGGAACGACGGCGAAGAGCCACGGCACCCCGCCGCCGCACCGGCCGCGAGCCCAAGCTCGGGCTCCCCCCCCGCCCCTCTCCCAAGGCAGAGGTCAAAAGCAACGAGCTCAGCCCGAGGAAGGGGCTCGGAACCAGCACAGAGCCAGCGTGACTCACGTCCTGGAGCGGCGTGGAACAGCCAGCCCGCGCCGCAGGCGTGAGCCCGTTGGAGACAGGCACTAATTGCTGCCGTCGCGGGGGTGACTACAGCCTGGAGCTATGCGCTGGCACGAGCCAAGAACAGCGCTGGCTGGCACCGTCCTCCTGCAGAGAGAAATCCTGCCCTGGCAGCCCCGGGTCCCGGGGGGGAGCCCAGCGCCTTCCCCTCCCCGCGCAGCCCAGGGGGGCACACTCACCCTCCAGCTTGCTCTCCGCGTTCTCCTGTTGCTTCTCCTCGGTGTTTCGGGGCTCCCGCGGCTCCAGCTGATCCGCTCGCTCCGGGAGCGGCAGCTCCTGCTTCTCACCTGCGGACAAACAGATCGACAGACCTTGGCAGTCAGTAAGGATGCTCCAGCAGCAGATGTTCTCTAAAGTGACTCCACATCGTGTTGTCCCTCCCTGCCTAAGCCGGCACAGTTTATATTCAACCCGATAACTGCAAGGGAAGTCATAAAAAAAAATATTTAACAATCTTATAGACGCGTGGCAGCGAGCCAGCGCTAACTACCTCAGCCAATTAAAATGCAAGAATGGTTCTAACTAGCTTTTAGACGGGCACTTAGCAATGTGTTACCTGTCAAGATCTCCCGGCTCCGTGTCCCCAGTGAGTTCGGAGACGCACGGGAACAGCATGGCACCTGACATTTAGTAGGCTAGCAAACAACTGTTTGACAGATATTATAGTAGCTGTCAAAGCCACCAGATTCCTCCTTTTCCCCAACAGCTGCTGAAGGGGCCGTGCATGCCCACATGCTAATCTCGTGAAATTAAAAGGAAACACTGGGGCGTAGGTAGGAATAACCAAATTGCCCAGTCTCCGGGGGGGATTACAGGCCAAGAGGAGAGCTTGTTCAGATGAGCCGCCACGGAGGGAGCTTACCAAGGTCGGCTTCCTTCTCCACAGACTTCGCAGCCTCCTCTGCTTTCCTGGGGAGCTGGAGCTTTGATTTCTCCCTGTCACCTGCGGCCTCAGCTTTCTTCTCACCGTCCGGCACGGCAGCTTGCGCTTTGGCTTCCAGCGCTTGTTTGTCTGGCTCCAGCTCTTTGTATGGCAGCCTGCCATCCTGCTGCACGATCACCTCCAGGACGTTCTTTGGATTTTTAACGGGCCCGTCAGTCCCTCCCCGCAGTTGGCTCTCAGCGATCGCTTCCTTCCCTCGTTTCGGGCCAAGTGCCTCTTCCTGGGGATTCGGCACGGCTGGCTCCTCCAGCGCCGGCTTAAGCAGACGCTCGTTGGCTCCTCCGGGCACAAGCTTGTTCTCATCGGATTCCTCCCGCTCCCGCCCCATGTCCACGACCACTTCGTCGTGGGGGACAGGTGGCTCGTGGCGATGTGCCTCCCCCACGGGCAGGGCAATCCCTAGGGCAGGCAACAGGCAGGGTCAGGGGGCTGGAGACTGACGGGAGAAAGCAAGAGGCAGCAGGTTCACAGCACCCAGAGACCTGCTGCCCCCTCTTCAGCCCGGCGTCATCGGGAGGCTGCGTTCCTAACGAGCCTCGAGAGCATCAAATACTCAATCACCTTCGGTCCACGAGGTAATGAGCAGAGATCAGGATCTTTATCTGAACTAGTCCCGCAGCGTATGCCTCCCAGCTCCAAAGCTGGCAGCCTTTCCCCAGTTTCCACGTTACCTTGGTCGGGACGGTCAAGCTGCACTTTCTCCTCCGGCTTTTCTCTCTCCTCCTCTCTCTTGGGTACCTCCATGGGCACCTTGATTTGCGGCTGCTCCATCTCCTCCTTCTCATCCAGCAGCTTTGGTTTATCGCGGTCATCCCCCGCCTCCTCTACTGCTGGGTTCTGATCTGCAAACATAGGACAGTTAATTGCACGAGGTTACACGCGGCTGCATTGTCAGCCCGCCGGCAGGATCAAGGCAGTTGCTTTGTCCGCTGCCACCCCCTTTATCAACGCAAGCCGAGCAGCTCTTTTCCCTCCAGCGTCAGTACGGAGGGGTTGGGGCTTTTGTTCCGGGGTCGACCTGTTTTGTTTTCCCTACGGTGGCTTTTTATGGAGCTGCCAGGCAGCGAGGCAGGGCCGGGCCGGAGCCGGCTGCCGCTGCGAGCCCATGCCGCCAGATGGTAGCATCCTCCCGGCTCCCCCGCGCCAGACCCCCGAGCGCCGGGAGAAACCCGAGGTGGGGTCCGGCCACAGCCCCCCCCATCGCCCGCCTGCGCCGGCCGCACGCTTCAAAGCGCCTCAAAACTGCTTTTATTTTGCTTTTTTTTTGGTTAATTCTCCTTTTTGTGCACGAGCGTTTCGCCAGCCCTTCGGACGCCGCAAAGACGGGGGCGGGAGGGAGGAGAGGTGCACGAGCCCGCAAAAGGCAGGAAATTTTGAGGAGAACGATTAAACAGATATTAGGGGAAACTCCCAAGGGAGACGAAGGACTCTCCCCGTCTGTCCCTCAAAGAGATGGGATGTTTCTGGGAGACACATCCCAGTCAAACCAGTTACTGGGTTCAGCGCTGGGGTAACCACGTGGGATTCGTGGCACGTCCCACGGGATGGGAACGGTCCCTTCCATCCCTGGGGTGGCAGACGACAACCCACACAGCGCAAACAGGGAGTGAACTCTTCCTTAGAAGAGCAGCAGAGGAGGAAATCTAATTGTTTCCCAGCACTGAAGTTGTTCTGCAGATTTTTTTCCATGCAACAAACTCTGAAAAAAAAAAAAAAAAAAAAAAAAAATCTATCTTCTGTAACAAAAAAAAAAAATTCCTAACTCTTCCCCCCATTTGCCCTCCCCCATGCGATTTCCTTTGGGGAATTAATTCTATAAACATCTTTCAATTTTCTCCTCCCCCTCCGCAGGGCTGGTGCGATTTATTACAAGATGAACTCATGGGAAAGCAGAGATTGCCACAACTTCAGCTGCGTGGGCCTTACCCAAGTTGGGGGAGAAATAAAAAAAAAAAAAACCAAACAAACAAACAACAAAATAAGTACAAAATCCTGGCCCAGAGGGATCCGTGCCAGAAGGATCCAGCACCTCTCCAGAAACCTGGACGCTCCGGCCCCAAGCTCCGCACCCAGCTGAAGGGACGTGCGCTGGGGCTGGCCAGCTTTCAACGTTTCTTTGGTTTGGGAATGACGGTGGGAGGGGAAAAGGACTTGGATTTTCTGAGAAATTCGAGTCTAGTACCCAAGGGTCCCTCTCTCCATTGAGGGACTTCCCAGGGTTCAGCAAGTCAGGGCAGGACACTCCTCCTTTCAGGAAAAAATGGACTGGAGGAACCAGTGCCCAGCCCTGGACGGGGGCCCTGGGAAGCAGGAGGCTGAGGCCGGGGAGGGGAGTGCTCGGCACGGCTGCGGATGTTCCCAGCTAAATTCTGGCCTCGCAGCAAAAAATTATTTACTCTATTGGAGGAAAGTTTTTTCGTTAATTGGTTCACGAGGCCGGGAGATGGCTGCGCTTGGAGAAGGCGGTGGCGCATCGGAGACCAGAGGATCCAGAGAACCCCAGCTCCCATGGCAGAAGGGAACGGCGGCCCGAGGCAGCCGTGCAGCGAGATGATGGTCAAGAGGGGAAATAAAAAGGAAAGGGGGGGGTGAAACTTTCCGTGCAAGTGGGAAATGGAGGAGTTAAAGCCAGAACTACCCCCGCGTGGCGCGTCAGGGTTTGGCCGAAGGACCCTGCAGCAGGTGAAACCCCCCACGGGTCCAGGACACGACCGAGGGGCTGGGGGAGACCCCGCTGCTGGGAGATGCTTCAATTGTAAATCAAGATGCCTGTTCCCTGTTCTGCAAACAATGCAAGAAAAGACCAAAACACAAACAAAAATAAAAGCCTCCATGCCATAATAAGACAAAGTTGCCTCTAAGCCGTCATTTGCTCAGCAGGAAACAAAATTAAGTTCATCATCAGGGCGTGAATTAACGACCTCTCACGCTGCATGGAAATCTATAAGGGGCTATATGTGGTTTGCAGAGAACAATTTTGCTCAGGATGTGTAATAATCGCTCTAACTGTCTAGTCGCCCTCCAGGTCCCTTCGGAGAGCGTTACAGTAATGCTGCGCCTCTTAATGTTTTATGAGCGGCGTTGGACTTTACAGGCGAGGGCTGAGAGGCTGTAAAAGCTTTTTGGCTTAGAGCAGCAGGACCTGGGCGTGAGGCAGGAGCAGGAGTGGGGGGGGGTGGCTCGGCCTTGGCGCAGCCCCCGCGGCCGGTGGGTCCCGCCGAGCCCCCCCCCCCCCCCCCCCGGCTCCCGGTGCTCCCCGGCAGCTCCGCTCCCCTGCACGGGGCGGCCGAGGGAAGCCAGGGCTCTCTGCAACTGCTTTGTGTGTGCGTGTCCGTGCGTGCGTGCGCGTGTGTGTCGGGGTTTGCCAACAGCCCCTCTCCAGGCTGCAATAAAATTTCACGATTAGCAACCTAAAAGCTTCCCTTCCCCGCCCTGCCCCCCCCCCCCCAACCCTCCCTCCTCCTCCCACCTCCCTGCTCCTGGTTTGGATAGTAGCAATGGTCCCAGAAAGGCATTCAAATCCCTCCTCACATGGTTTTCCTATCGCTCTCGTCCACCGTGGCAATGACCGCAGCCAAAAGCCGCGTCTGCACACCCTGCCCTGGGCAGAGGCAGCGAGATGGGCCCTGGTGTGCTCCCCCCGCCCCCCGAGCCACGGGGGATCCGGCAAAGGGACCCGGGGAAGCCCCAGGGACAGCACAGGGAGCTCGGGGGGGGACACACACACCCCACCCTCTCCGTGCCCGGAGCATCAGCCAAGGGACGTGGGGTTGGGGATCTGCTCGCCTCGGTCCAGCTCCAGACTCACTGAAATCGCTCCAGCGCGGTGAAACGGAGCAAAAGCCACGAGCTCGCGCTAAGGAAAGCGAAGCAGAAGCAGCGGGACAGAGGGATGGGGGCAAACCGCTGGCCTCACACGCGCCGAGCAGGGCAGGGCCAAACCTTCCCCCCGGGGAGCCCCGCGCAGCTCCCCCCGGCCCCAGCTGCGGCTCCGGGAGCCCCCCTCCCCCTGAAACGGTTACAGATTTCACAAGGTTATCGAATGGCATCACTGAAATTAGTTCACAGTTGTCTCCTGACGCACCAGCAGTAAAAACGAACCCAAATTACAAGAGGCTGATAGTTCCTTTTCTGTGTCACAGGCACTATTAAAAGCTCGCTCGCACAAAGCACCAGGGAGAGCTGCAGCAGCGTCAAGCTGTTCTCGCAGCTATTAAGGAGCTCCGCATAACCCACGTTTCACACATGCTCTGGCTAATAACGCCGGCGGGGACGCAGCCTGCAGCCGGGCAGGTCCCTTTTTCGGGGCCAAACGCGCGGGGGGGACGGAGCCGCCCTCGCGCCCCGCCGGGCAGCGGAGCAGCCGACCGCCCGCAGACCCGAGTTTCGCCCGAGCCCGGGCAACAGGGAACCCCCCGCGCCCAGGAGGAGACGTGGGACGGACGGAGAAGGGTCCCCCCCGCTCCCCGGAGCGCGGGGGAAAGGGCGCTCTTGCCTAAGGAGCGTGAATCAGGTCTTTGTTACCCGCTATTGCACAACGCCAGGGAGAGAAAACGAAGCAGCAATGATCAAGTAAGGAGCTGAAAAATATTACAAAATCTTAATCCACCCCATGAGACCCTCTAGGGTGCTTTCAAATACAGAGAGAAATTGCCTAATTAGCTTTTTTTTTTTTTTTTTTTTTTTTTTTTTCAAATGGATAATTGCCTTCATGAGCTTTCAGAGACAGCTTAGCAACCTTTTAACATACGCGCACACGCTGCATGGAGCGGCGGAACGTTTCTGAAAGGGGTTTTATACCTTTCCCGAAGAGCTGCTGACAGTAAACCTCAAGCTATACAGGCAGGGGCTGTAATGGGCACTTGGGTGTCGTTAGTAAAAACACTATTCAGAGTTTGCTGGTCAATACGTGTTCACATAAAAGGGCAATGTTCTAATATTCATAATCCCAGGGCCCACAGGGCAGGGTTTTAATGAAAGTCTGTACAGTTCTGGTCTCTGCAACATCAAAGAGGCCAATAAAACTCCTCTCACATGCTGACAGGCAAAAGTCAGACGGTGAAGGCAGGACTGGGAAAAGGCCCCGCGCAGCCCCCAGGTTTGCCGGCCCGGGGTGGGGGGGTGTGGGGTGTGGGGAAGGGGCACGGAGGGTCCCTCTGCCCGGGGAAGGGCCGAGCACCCAGCGCCGGTTCCCAGGGAGAAGGGGTGTGTGTCCCTGCTAAAGCCCCGCGCGAGGGATACGAACCAGATGGGCGCCGGGGAGGGCACCCAGGCGCCGGGCTGTGGGGGGCAGCCCCCCGTCCTGCGCACCCCTCCGGTGACGGGGTGCAGCTGCTGCAGCGTTTTCCAGGCTCCCGCCTCCGCGAAACGAGCCGGGCGAGGATGAGGCCGGGAGCCCCGGCGGGGAAGAAGGGCACCATTTAAGGCCTCTCATTGCTAAGCAAGCCGACATCCCGCGGGGAGGCGCGGACCCAAGGCGGGGATCGCAGCAGCGGCTCCCCCCCGGGGGCAGCCCCACGGCCACCCTGCAAGGGCCTTGTCCCTCTTTCCCTGCCCGGATCCGTCCCCTCCCCTCCCGGGGGATGCAGCACCCCGGGGCAGAGCCAGCAGCCCCCCACCCCGAGAGGGCCCACGCCGGGCTCGGAGGGGAGCCGAGCATCCCCGCGGGCAGACGCTCGTCGGCGCGTCCGGAGGGGCGCAGCTCCTCCCTGGGCACTTTACGAACCGGGAGCGGCGCTGAAAGCGCCTCCCTCCCAGGTCGGATGATTTACTCCAGCGGCAGAAGCACCGGGGCCACCCCACGAGCTCTGGGCACACGCGGTGGGTGCGGCGGGGGCGAGCGCCGAGCCGCTGCGCGCCGGCGATGATTAGGCGCAGGGGTCCTGCTCTGCCGCCCCGGTTCACGGGGAGAAGAAGTGGAGAAGAGATCCAGCAAACTCCAGCGGACACCATCTTTTATGGGACTTTTTTTTTTTTTTTTTTATTTTCCCAGTCACAAGAACACGTGTCATTAGCGACTCCTCCTGAAACGAGCAGCTGTTCTTTGGCCATTACTGCTCCAAAATTAACCAAGACGGAAGAATTCAATTGCATCCCCCCTCCCAGCCCTGCTGAGTGTGCTCGATTAAGGGATCGGGAGCATCTTTTGCTCAGAGTTCACGGGCATCCTAGTGCCTGAGAAGGCATGCACGCCTTGAGTAAACCATGAGCACGAACACATAAAACCCCACTGCTGCCAAGGACGGAGCAACCCAGGAGTGAATGTTATCGGCGGCAGCGCTGGTGTCTCGGAGACACTCCAAGCTGCTCGGCAGGAAAACAGCCAACAACCAGGAGGGAGGATAATCTCCACAAGAGACAGCCCCTCTCTCCCTTCCGTTCGCAATCTCTGCGAGGATATTTCAAGGCCCCCGAAGAACAAAAAAAAAAAAAAAAAAAAAATCACGAGCAGAACCAAACAAAAAATAAAATAAAGAAACAGGACACAGGCACAGATGAGGGGCAGCGCGGGGTCACGCGACACCTGCTAGCGATGGCCTTGCAAGGCAAGCCTGCAGCTGGGGAAGGGAGGGATCGGCCGTAATTCTATCAACGGCCACGGTAAACAAATAATAAATAACGTGAACCAGTAAACAAAGCTGAGGCATAATCACAGGCTTTGTCAGAGCTAAAACCGAATCCAAATTTATATCCTCGCAACCGAAAAAAAAAGTCAGCGCCCATAAATTTACATACCTTTGAGTGCCATGAATGGCTTGTTATTGGCCCCGCGGACAATGCGCTGGCAGAAATGGTGAAAGCAGCCCTGTTTGGCCACTCACACCCCTCGTACAGGTGGCCAGCGCGGAGCCGTCGCTGGGCTGCGCTCACAGAGCTGCGTTTGTTACCCCGACCGGGGAGATCCGCGCTCTGTCCGTACGGGGGACCCCAGCCCCCGCGCCCTACCTTCCCTTTTCCTTCCCCAAAGAACAACCCCCCGCGAGGTACCATCGCAGCTCGCCGCGGGCTTTTCCAGGAGACAGAACTGCAGCCTTGCTTGGGAAGTGTCCCCAGGATGCTGCGAAGATGCACAGAGCTGCCTGGAAAAGACCCTGCTTCCCACACGCTTTTTTTTTTTTAAAAAAAAAAAAAAAAAAAAAAATTTTTTTAAAGAGGTGGAGCTGGGAGCAGGGCTGGGAAGCACAACTCAAGCAGACACATACCTGGGATTTTGACCGGATCCTGGTCAATTCTGGTCTCCTCCCCCTCCAGGTGCTCCAAGCCCACCGCTTCCGTCTTCACAGGGGCGTCCTCGGTCGCAGACAAGGTGGTGTACGTACTGATAACCAGTATTCCCAGGCCAATCCACAGTATCATCTGCACAATGTGCCAGAGCTTCAGTTAGCACAGCAAAACAAAACGGGACTGCTCTGTACAGCATTCTTCAAGCAAACAGTGTCTCCAAACAATTCAAAGCTCAGTGCAATTACACATGTCAAAGAGAGGGAGAGGAGAGAAATTTAAGAGGCAAAAAAAAAAAAAGAAAAAAACCAGTAGCTTTTGGCTGAGGTTTCTATTTGGATGTAGAGACATATAAATGGAAGTTTCAGATGCTGGAAGCTGTTGAAAAGGCGACTCCTGCATCAGGAGGGCTCAAAAGCAAGTGGACAGGATGTAAGGAGAGGAAAATGCATGTGGCAGACATGAGTCCAGCTGCAAAGACTCATTCCCTGGTATTTCCAGCAACTACATTAGAACACCATGAAATCAGGTCTGGCTGAGAACAGAGGTGCCCGACCTGTTTACAGCCCAGAAAGGTTTCCAGGGAGCTGCTTAAAAATTCTTATTTTTGAAAGCAAGAATAAGATGTCCACACACAAGTCCTGCTGGCCAGTGTTCAAGCAGTTGATAAGTAACTCACTGAATTTCCAGAAAGCTGGGACCAAAGAGAATAAAAATAGAAAGGCAGAACCTGGCTCCCGTGGAGGGAAGGGCTCTAGCTCAAACATGAGAAAGTGACCACCACCAAAAAGAACATTTCCGCAATAAATTGATCGAAAAGGATCTAGTTGACGTGAGCCATGAGAAAGAATAGAAAAGCACATCTGCACCAAACCGCCGTGTTGGGTGCCAGGGCTGCCAAACGCCCGCCTGCTCCTCCAGCCGAGAGCGGTGCCGGCTCCGAGAGCTGAGCGGGTGGATTGCTGGCCGACAACACCGACTGGGGAGATTGAATTCAACTCTGATACATTATTTTTACCTAGTTAATCATTGCAATTGTCACAGTAAGGCTTTCTCATGGAGCCTGGGCTGCATGTCAACGCGTCACCGGCGCTGCGGACGGCCGGTAGGAGAAAGTCGGCAAGAGCTTGAGCTGAAGGAAACGGGCAAAGAAGCGGCACCTTCTGCTAGAAACTCGCGTCTCCCCACAAACTCCTCTTCACAACAGACCATGGGAGCAACAGGAACCATCACGTGCAAACCAGAAAACGCCTGGCAAACTGAAGGTTTGCAGCAAATTGGTATTTATGATGCAGCAATTCCCGCCCCACCCCCCCCTTTATTTTTTTTTTTTTTATATATTTTATCTAAGCACATCCTGCTCCCTGAAATGCCAGGAATCCGCTTTATTTCTGCAGCTCTGCATACGGCAGCAAGGGACCCAAGACCACGCTACAAGCTGCACCTTCCCCTTGCAGCACGCCGCTGCTTCTCCTCCTCCGCTTGTTGCCAGTTCCCGTCCCCAGCCCGGCTGCGGGCTGCTGGGGAGAGCACACCGCTTTTTCCACCCCCTGCCTAACAAGAACAATCTTGCTACGCGTGCTTCACGAGGCAATCGGATGAAAGTCCTAAAAATCTGCAAAGGGAAATTGCCGCGCTGGTGCCCAACCTTGCTGCCGTCCAGCAGGAACCACGCAAGCTGCCCGGCCCCTCTGCAGCGCAGTGCAACACCCCCAGGCCGGGGGATTCTGGCTCGGGCTGTGATACCAGCTCACGAGAGGACCACGTCCTGCGGGACTCGCCCTCTTCTCCCCAAATCCTTACCCTGCAGCATTTACATCGCAAAAAAGCACAATAAAAGGATGCGACTCGGTGTGAGGAAAACCAGGAATGGCCGCGGGGGAGCATTGCTACAACTGGAAGCTGCCAGAGGGAGAAAACCTAAAATAAAGGGGAGATGTGAAATTGAAAGGAGAAGTTAAAACATCGGCACCTCCAGGGGAGGGAGGAGAAGCTAACGTTTTCTTCTCCTTCCTCACGCTGAGGGTCGCCCAGAAACACGGGCCAGTGCGGTCAGAGCCTCGGGCCCAGGAGACCCCGCAGACAGACAGACGCCGTCAGAAGGGAAAGGTTGGCAGGACGTGAAGCAGCTCTGGACAAGGGGCGAGCGGCGTGGCCAGGGAGCAGAGGCCAGACCTCAGAGACGTCGCAAAGGAAACAGAAGTAAAATCTGCTCCCTGCCTTGTCGTGTGGGTGCACAAAGAGCAGATATCCTGCCACCCGGCTGGGGCCAAAAGCGGAGTCAGCAGGTCCCTGCCACTGCTGCCCTCGGCCTGGAGCTCGTCCACTTCCTCCCCTCACACAATCCACAGCCCCGGCAGAAATGCATTTTGCAACTGGAAAGCTGTTCTGGCGTCTTCCAGAAACAACAGCGGAGAGGAAGAACATTTCCATAAAGGGGATCTATTCTGGTGCCACAGGAACTAGGAGCAACGTGGGAGAGAAGGAAACTGTAGGAAACGACTGAAAACATTAAATGTTTTAAAAGGATTTTTGTTGTTTCTTATCTTAGTGGGGAACCAGAGGCTTGAATGCCTTAGATTCAAACCCCTTTGATTGTTTAACATTTGGAGTTCATCTGTGAGCTTCCCGGAGCAGCGGGCCCGGGCACACGTGGCAGCCCACGAACAGCCCAGCGGCTGGGCTGTCCATGACCCCGCAGCTGCCCCTCACCTCCGGCCCCCCGGCAGCACCCCTCCTCCTCACCTACCCCAGCAGCCACCAAAGAGCAGAATAAAGAGGTCCACAATTTGGCTTAAGTCCACGGAGATGCTTATGACGTGGAAAACCAGGCAGTTTGTGTACTCAAGGGACCAGCAAGGCTAATCTGGCAAGCGAAGGAAGAGGAACGTGGGGTTCAAGGACGCGGTGGCCCGAAGAACCAAACACAGGCAGAGGAGCCTCCCACTACCCCCAAAGCGTCCAGCTGAAGAGCCGAGAACCTGGAGCAAGGAGAGGGACAACACTGCAGAGCAGTTATTAAGGCAGTGCCTGGTCCCCCAGGAGGGATCTCCTGCACACCTCCAAAAAGCAAACGCGCCGAGAGCGGAGACCCCTTCCCCAGAAGCATCTCTCAACACGGGCACGGCAAGAGGACGAGCAAACCCCTCTGGCTGCAGCCTCCTCCAACTGGCAGGTCAGCAAGGCAAGGGCCCGTCTCCCGAGGGGTGCGCTCTGAGCGCGGGCAGGAATTCAGGAGAGGAAGTTTACGCGGCCGTTTCCTCTGCTGGTTGCTTTCCCTTGGCCGTCCTTCCTCCCAGAAGATAACTCGAACTTTGTACAGAAGTATCATTAGCTCAGACCACCTCCTCTAACCACGCCCGAGCCATCACCAGCGGGAAACAAAAAAAAAAAAAAAAAAAAAAAAAGCATTTGTGTAGAGTGACGACATCCTCCAAACTGTGCTGTTTTGGACCCTGAGCGTTTGGAGGGACGGAGTCATGGCGAAGGAATGCAGAGCCCCGGTCACTGCCGGGTTTTTCCGCGGCGCTGCGACAGAGCTGCCGTGTTTGAAGGGCCGTACCGACCGAAAGCGCCTGCGGTGGAGGTGTGCTGGCTGCCACGCTGCCAGGGGAGGGCAGAGGGGAATCTTTTTTCCATCCGCACAGGAGCGAGACCGAGGGGTCATTTCCTGACCTCGAGCAGCCTCTCCGCAGCTCCTCTTCCCCAACTGGGACAACAGCAACTCCGGCCTCCCTAGGAGGGGCCTCTCGGACGGGTTTGTGTCAACACTGGGAAGCCAACACCTTCCTGTTAGAAGTTAAACACTCTGTTTACAGACCTTAACGCGACCTTCGGCAGCGCTCAGCCAAACCTCACTCTGTCCCCCCTGTCCCCCCCCCTCAAAGCTCCCGGAGGGCAGCGGGACACGGAGCTGCGCCTATTACAGGAACACGCTCGATGCTTAACCGCCAGGAAGGGAACGCTCTCCCCGGTTCACTCGCAGGGCTGTGTGCCTGACTTCAAGCTTTTTAGCTGCTCCGTTACCTGATCATCTTTCCAACACAGCAAGCCTTTGACCCGAGCCACCCCCCCCCCCCCAGCCCCGGCTGCAATAATTAACAACGCGTTGGCAGAAGCCACCGGTGCTCTCCGCCGGCCAGCCAACATCTGGGACTGCCCATATCCCTCCCCCTGGCACCCTCTTCACTGCTCTTAGCGCAGCTTCCCCGTTTTGTAGCCTCAGCTTGCACCACCTTCCCAGCTCGGTAAATCTGAACTTCCTATCCTGCCAGCCCCGTGAGCTGCCCGACGCGGGACTTCGCTGGATGCCAGGGGTGGCCCAATAAAAGCAGCCGGTTCTGGGCAGCAGCATCGCAAGAGTCAAGATAATTGAGACAACCCTAAAAGCTGGCGTTGCAGCGGTCAGCTGCTTTGGGAGAAAGCTACAGAGGACGGAGGGAGGGAGAACACAGGCGTACATTGTGTAGGCAGGGAAAAGCTGGGAGGGACAACTACGCCCAGGGCTGGCTCTTTCCCCCCCCCCCCTTGACTGCCACTTTTCACGGGAGCCGTATTTTGATGGAGTGGAGCGCCTGATCAAAGAAAAGCAGGAATGAAGGAGGAGACCAAAGACGGAGCCTTCAGGGAAAGAATAAATGAGTCTTTGCAGAAGACCTGGAGGAACGACGAGAGGGTGGGCCTGGGATTCGGCTCCAGAGCGGAGGCGGGGAGGTGCTCTGCGGCCGGGCGCGCTTCTGAAGGCAGGTGTGCCCTTGCTGCAGCACTTCAGAGCATCGGTCAAAGCAAGTATGCAGACTTGACAGGCGATGGATCATTCAAGAGGAGGCTGGACAGCTTGCTACCAGCCCCTTGAAATGCCAGGGTAACCTGGGGGCTGATGCTTTAGATAAGCCCTTATTCCTTTGTGGGGATTTCTGCAGGACAAACATCTTCACCAGCCTTGTGACCAGCGTTTCAGGCCAAGCATTGTGAGGGCCCCAGTGTTCAACCCCAGGCAGCTGACAGTCGCCTCTGGGCAGCCAGTCTAAGAGCTCAGCACATCCTAAGTGCAGTTTCAAGGCACTGCAGAGAAACGTTCTGGCTCAGCCGGAATAGAAAGCAATTCTTGAAAGTGCTCTTTGTTTCCCTGAAAAATCCAGGCTGGCACTCAGACTCCTGCTTGGGATTTCAGTCAAAGAAGTTAGGACCAAAGTGTCAGAATTCAGAGTGAAAGCTGGAAAGTTGGACTATTTCCTTGTGTCAGAGAAAGCACGGGGAAAGAAAAAAAATACACCCTGCTTAAAAACTTCATGTACATTTGCAAACCCACAAGTCATTAAACACAGAAAAAGCCATTAGTTCTGTAGGACCCACAAAAATGTCGTGCTCTCCCCCTGCTGACTCTGCAGTTTGCCGAAAACCTTACTCCCAGCCCAGCACTGTCGTGCCTGGTAATGCGGGGGCAGAGGCCTGCTAAAAGGCAGTGGATTAAGTTATTGTTAGAAAAAAACAAAACCTGTTAATTTGACCCCCACAAAAGCACAGTATTTGCAGAAGCAGAGAGATCAAGCCCAGCAAAGAGCCACTTTGTTTCAGTCCCCAAGGAGGCCAATTCAAACTGGAGCAAAAGGAAAAGCTAAACTTCTAACAGCCTCTGAACGACCCCAATTTTTTAAAAATCAATTCCTGAAGCAACACCTCTATGTGTGTGTTCCTTTTTATTATTATTTTGGTTGAAACCAGAAAGCTGAGGGTCAGCAGCAAGAACCGCATCGCTGAGAAAACGTGTTTATTTTACCCAGTCCAGGCAGGTTGGGATGGAAGCCCCGTTAAGGTTTTATAGGCTGCCTGGATTTCCCATTCTGCAGATACACAACCTGAAGCCCACCAGAAGGCGGGGTGAAAGCAGCGTTTTATGCACCAAATGAACGCCTCACCCGCTGCTAGAGGGACAAAAAGAGCTGGCGTTCCAGCGCGGGGCAGGCCGTGCACTGGGCCAGCACCTCCTCCACTGCTGTCTGCGTGCCCACAAGCGATGCTGCTCCGAGCAGCTGACCAGAACAGCTCCCACTTGTACTGGGCAGACTGGAGGGGGAGGCTGGAGGAGGTGCCGAGCAGTTTCTACGCTGCAGCCAAATTAACTACGTTCCCAGGCTCCGGAGAGGGCTTAGGGGGATGTCAAACAGCATCAGCACTGACCTGTGAACAAAGTGCATTCTTGTGGATCTTCTTGTAAATAAGTGCTGGGCAGATGAAACAAATGAGGCTTCCCATCGTAGCACCTGTCAGGCCCAGGACTGTTTCCACTGGCAAAGAAGAAGAGAAGTCAGCAAAGGCCCCTTCCAGGACTGCCAGAGCGGCAGCACGTGGCGGCTGTCTGAGCCCGCAGGCAGGCTGGGGCACGAGCCCAGCCAGCCTGGCCATCCCACCCAGAAAAGCGAATAATCAAGACCAGAGAAAACAGCCAAGCCACCAGCCCTTGCCCCCAACTCACCATTCGGGATCATGATGCCTCCTACCATGGTTCCAAACACAACAGCCAGCGTCAGGGCTTTGAACCGAAGCGGGGGCATATAACCCCCAGCAGCGAAGGTGCCGTCTTTTTGCTGGAAGAGAAAGGGCGGGAGGGGGAGAATGGGTTTTTAGCTCCTGCTGCACAACCCCACAGCTCCTAAGCAATTACCCCAGCAGGCTCCAGCGGCTGCGTCACCTCCACGCTACGGGCTCTGCACGGGTGAATGCTGGGGGGGGGCAGTGAGACGTGCTGGATCAGTTTTAATACGCAACTGCGTTTGAACCTTCCAAACAGAGTGGCAGGGGGCATGGAGCCAAAGCTGCCATTTCCACCCTGCCCCAACTGTGAACCGTACAGCTGTATCCCAGTCCCTGCACCAGTGCTGCAGCTGCCCGGCCTCGGCGAGCAGCCCCAAGGCCAAGGGCATGAGAAAGGAACGCGGCTGAGAAGGAAGGAGGGAGACCGGTCACAAGGGGAAGAGCTCTGGTTTTGCTACGGCAGGGTGTCCCCCGACACCTCCGGGAGCAGAGCTATTCCCACCACGCTACAACGCATGTACCAGCTCCTCCAGCTTGACAGAAGACACCCCAGCTAGACGGCAGAGAGGAGGATCAGTGCTGCTGGGGAGCTGCCGATACCGGACGGTCTCCAGATGCCCACTGCTTCCCATCCCATCCGCGTCCTCCGAGCGGGAGATGCGGAAGGCAGAGGACCCAGCAAACCCCCAGGCCCTGGAGAACCAGCGGGTCCCCACTCTCCTGCCTGCACAGATGGGAGGGAAAAGCAAAGTGACAGGTTCAGAGCCCGAAGAGCAACGAGCCGAGCCCAGGCGAGAACCAAAGTCTTCCCGAGTGTTTCCAGCGCTTACTCCTCTGCACCCGCTGGCTTTCACCGATCATCTTCCCCCATCCTCAGGCCCTTCCGACGTGAGAAAAGAGCTGGGGGCTTCTCACAGGCAGAAGTGGCAGGATTTAGAGCTATAAATTGCTCAAGTTTTATTTCCTGCCCTAAGAGGTTTCTATTTATGCAGATACACAAAGGCCTCAGAACATTCCCACAATCTCTTACTGTTATTTACTGAATACCATCGGCATGCTTAGTGCCGTACAATACACAGAGGAGAACACGCTACTGCCACAAGGGACTTACAGTCTAAATCAGACAGACCAACTATAGTCACAAAGGCTGTCTGAAGATCTGACCCTGGGAAAGGTGAACGTGTGGGAGGGGGCTGTATTCCACCGCGTGCTTCTGCACCAGAGCGGCACCAAACAGCCAAGGGAGGCACTGGAGGAAGGGAACATGTGAGCCCGGAGGGGAAAAGGCTGCTCAGGGGCCTACAGAGAAAGATGCAAGAATGAGAATAATAATAAAAGAGCAGAAATGCGCAGGCACACACAGAAGGAAGAAGAAATGAGGCTGGGCTGGGCTCTGAGGGCAGGAACAGAAGCTTGAGCTAAATGCAAAGCGAGATAGAGTTGGCCAGCAAAAGGATGCCAGCTGGAGCAGCAGGAAATAAGGAGGCTCCTCTGTTTCCAAAAGCACATTTCTCCCTCTTTCTGAGGGGGAGAACCACCTCGGCTCTGAACTGTGTAACACTTCTGCGCGAGAGCTGAAATCCCCAGCAGAGCAGGGAAGCAGCAGCCACGAGACACGAGGCAGAGCAGAGAGCTTCGGGCTCACAGCTCCAGCACTTCTGCCCACGAAATTCCTCTGCAGAGAGGACAAGAACCTCAAAGCTTAACCATTCTGCAGAGCAGGATTTACAGGCTGCCACGGGCCTCCTGCTGCACCGTTACCACACACCAGGCACTTACAGTTTCACGGCGAGCTGGGGGTTTGTCCCTGTGGATAGCGAGTACCTACCACAAGTCAGAAATACGCAGTTGCCAACGGAGTCTCACAGACCCAAGGCCTGTTTGTAGCCCAGGTCGGCAGCCAGCAGCAGCAGCCAAAGAGTCACAGCAGCCCTTCAAAAAGCAAGTTTCAAAAGTGCACACCAAGGCAGCCAGCTGCTCCCGGCCCCACGAGAGGATCTTACCTGCTGCTCAAAGAGAAGGGTGTTCAGCGCCTGTCTGCACGGAAGGATCATCATCGGAAACCCCACAGCTACCGACATCATGAACCCCACTCGAATCATCTCCGTCACGAGGTTGGAAGGGAAGTTCATGAGGACGTTCCCAGCAATGGCTTCAGTGTAACTCACGTAGCCAAAGAATCCCACCTGTCCGGCAAGAGGAGGGCGTTTGACTCCAAGGCGCATTCATACCTGCTCTTTACAAACGGGGGGAGGACAGTGACCTGCCGTGAGTTAGGACCGGCCAGCCAAGGGGCAAGCGTGGGGGCCACCTCCACGGGCAACCTGTCAGCAGCCCCAGCTGCAGCACCCCCCAAAAGCCAAGACAGGCGGTTAACGACTCGTGGGGACCTTCCTAAAAGCGGAGGCAAGTTTCTCACCAAATACTTTCACGGAGGGACGTCGCAGCAAGGCAACGCTGCCACTGCCCGTGACGCCGAGCAGCGACACCCCGCTTGCTGCCGGGCCCACGGGCCGGCTCCCTCCAGTGAAGAAGGGGCCAGAACAATTCCCCCCAGCGGCCTAGCGCACAGGGCAAGGCTCTTCTCAGGAATTATTAACTCGGTTTCATTAACTGGTGCTTTATGAGGCATAACTCCCTTCCCATCTTTCCAACTGCAACAGGCTGAAAGAAGCTCTCCCAAACTCTGGAGAGCGTCTCCAGCTCCAGGCTGGGCCCTGGAAGGCAGAGAGCTGGGTCTCCACTCTGCCTCCCCCCAAGGAAACGTGCCACGTGGAAAATTGGGACTCTCCAAAAGCCTCCTGCACTGTTCGGTTCAACATCTCCCATTTAATTTTGCTTTCAGCAAAATGACTTCTCTCTTTCAGAATAAATACAGATAAGAAGAAACCAGCCCCATCTGAAGGTCAGTCATCACCCCTGTTGCCCCTCCAGAGCGTGTGTCTTCTGGCAAGGAAAGAGAAGGGGAAGTTTCTTACCGTAATGTAAAAGGTGGTGACCACGTTTAGGGAAGAAGCAAATATGGAGCTCATGATTTTAACAGATGGCTCATCCAAGCTATCATAGGTAGGCAAGACCTGACTGTAGAAAAGGGCAAATTATTTAAGGAAACCTTCTGCAGAGAGAGAGAAAAACCCAATTCCAGCACGTTCACTGCCTCAGCCCAGCAGCAAAGAATCCCTGACACCTTCCCCCTATGGAGCATAAACACTCGCTGCTATTCCACAATTTATATTGCTAATGCCAAGAGATTTCAGAGCACTCATAACTTTAAGTGTTGCAAAAATATTCCTGTTCTCCCCACCCCACCACGTGGAGCTAAACGTGTGATGTAAACATTTTGGTTCAAAAGTGTTGCAAAATGAATGACCGTTTGTTCCAGTGAAACACCAGTGGCACCAGGCCAGGCAGCGCATTGGAGATTATTGTTCTTGGAGCTCTCTATGCTGATAATTAAAGCAACGCAGTGTTTACAGAGCAAAAGCAGGAAGAAGGTTAGAGCATCACACTGTCTAAAAGAAAAGTTAAACAAACAAAATGAAATGCAGCGCCTGTCATATTTCAGCGCTGCTGCTAGAGCTCAGTTCATGGAAAGCTGGGAGCACAAATTACCCGGGATTTGGGGTATTTACAGACTTCGAAAGCACGCGGAATGTACTTTTTGACATCAGGTGCATATTTCAGCAACCCATTAACCTCTTGTTACTTTAATTCAAGTGGCTGCATCCTGGCCTCACGTTACTGAAGTAACTCTCAGGAGAAGGGGGGGAGCATCCAGTTCGATGGGAAGGGGGTATCCCCAGCTCCAGTGGGCGCAGAGCCATTAACAGAAAGTGTGTCAAGCCGAGGCCAGGCAGAAAAATCCTTAACCCTTAATCCCTTAATGTCAAACGGTTCTGCACAAAGGAAGCTGAGCGCATCAGCTCGCAGGAGCCCGCGAGACGCGCGGAGTCTGCGAACGCAGCACCGTGACAGCCATTTACTGCAGGGAGCGAGGAGAGCAGCCTCCCCAGGAGCATTTCCATTTCAGATTCCTCTCTGCCCTCAACGCAGCGACCTCCGCTAGATTAACCAAGTATGTCCCAGACTTCAGCCCCATGAGGGGAAGGGGGCCAGCCAAACATCCAGGCCCAGGAAGGAGAAGAAAGGAGGGAAGCGGAGAGGCTCTGCGGTGCGTGGGGTGGGACAGGTTGGTGTTACTGCAGGAGCAGCAGCAGTGACACGGGGAAAAGTGCCTTGCAAAGTCCAGCTGCACCTCCTGGGGTGACCTAACGGCACCCGTTTGGTTAACGTGGGTCGGGAGGACCAGCACAGCGTCCCTCAAGCCCCCACGACACACACTGCTGGGCCCTCCTGACCATCACCACCTCTCAAGGCAAAGCAAGAAGACAAGACACATGCAACAGGCAGCATGTCCTGACATGTCCGGGGTTTATTTTTAAGCAAAATGACTGCACTGAAAGCCAGCGAAGGATCAGGGATCCTTCCCTGCGTTATCTGTTACACCGCAACCTCAAAGAGGGCACAAGCAGATGGTTCCTCCTGAGCAGAGAGCCGGCAAGTCAGAACAAGTAGTCTCAGAGAAAGCAGCTTTGCTTCAGAGATGGCCAGAGCTGCTTCAGACTATCTGTTCTTCACCCTCCCCGTAGGAACCACCTTGCACAGGCTCTCCGAGCGCAGCACTAGCTCAGCCTGCAGGCATCTGATGCTCACAGAGGCAATGAACACACACCCCCCCCCCGCCGATTTTTATTATCCCTGTGATTTCAGCATTTTTGCATCCATCTGCACCAAAACAGCCATCTCCAGAAATTAGAAGTTTTCTCCTGGAAAGCTCTACTGACTCCTCTTTAATCAGAGGGTTCAGTGACTTGACCAAGGGCACGCAAGGAGGCTGCAGCAGAGGTAACCCTGGAGTCCTCGTGCTCCCAGCTCTCAGTTCCACAGCGAATTTCCACGCAACATAACTGTAGAGGAGTGACCCACTTTGCAACTTCAGCAACAACAGGACAGCTTTTAAAGAGCGAAGGGTATTGAACTTACAAGTAAAGCAGGGTCGAGTTTTCCAAGCTAGAATAATAGTGCACTTATTTGTCCTTACTGTATGCTGCGTTTGCGTGCGGAAGGCAAAGGATTTCTGCTTTATGTCAGAATTATTTATTTTTTAAAAAGGTGATTCAGAGGTTAGCAAAATTAAACCTACCTAGCTGCGAATAACATGCTTATAAAGATTGCCAGGGCTGGGGACAGTGTATTGCCCTGGTGCTTGGAAAAAACGCACAGCTTTAGGTTGGGCTTGCCACGTAAGTGCTGTAATGGAGCCTGTATTTAGGTATGTGCACGCTGGTCCAGGCCAAACGATTTCCCTGCATTTCCAAATCCCAGCAAAACTGTGCTGGGTACTGTGTGGCTACCATAAGGAAAAAAAAAAAAAAAAAATATATATATATTGGAATTTAAAAACTCAAAAATGTTAACAAGGTAAAGCTGTAAAAGAATACAACTCCCGTCGCCAGTTGTAATGGAGACATTAAACAGCAAGACTGGAGCGTGTTCGGGTAGGAACCGAGCTGCCAAGAGAGCCGATAAGTGGAAAATGATGATTTGGATCTTGCATGTGGGTGTAAACACAGCAGTCTGAACAAATTTTATCTGTCACATTCATTTACTGTTGGCATGCTACCCATTTGCTAGAACTACAGGGGGGAAAGCCCGACTCTGCCAGCCTTCCAAATGAGGATGGTCTTTTCCGTGTCCACATTTGGATTTACACTTCTATTTAAAGTCTGTTACTATTCTGGCCAGGCACGTATTGCTCACTTGCCATTTTGGTGCAGAAGGTAATGCTGCCTGAAATGTGAAAATAGCCTGGTCTGCCATCACGTCCTTCCGTGTGCCAACGGAAACCCTCATTAAAAGCAGGTAACTGGAAACGCGCGAACAACTCTCCAAAGTCAACGACGGTGCGATCTTCTGAGTATTCTCATAGAAATTCGGGGAAGCAGAGAGCAGCCGCGAGCGTCTGCTACCCTGCGGGGGGCCCTGCGGCCAGGAGGCAGCCCAGCCCCGCTGCCCTTCCTGGTACTAAATCATTCCTTTCAAAACGGGGGAAATTCATCACTTATGCAGCTGTACCAGAAGCGACTTGCATTACACTGAGTATCTGTTTGGCCCAAATGATCTTGTGTTGCTCAAGTACAATAACTCCCAAGTGAAATATAACTCCCCCCAGCCAGGTAACAAAAGGGTCACAACTGAATGAGATGCTGTACTTCAGTGGGCTGTAAAATATTTTGATTAAAATAAAATAGGAAACCAGATGGTATCTATCCCTTGCAGATCCTCGTGACCCTCTGCCCTCACAAAAACTCACCGCGCACCACAACTGCCAGAAGTGGGAACGGCAGGTACTTACGACTGGCAGGCAAAAGACATGCCAAAGATGGGGATGCAGCGAAAAATGCCCTCCCAGCGAGTGTAACTAACTCGCTGCAGCCACTGCCCGCCGAAGAGGCCATGCTTGAAGGACGACAGCACGATCTGTAGCCAAGAGAAAGAAGAGGGGTTCAGATCCAACCCAAACCCAACTTCACGGCAGCGGTAGCGCTGGTGCTGGGATAAAAGGCAGCGTGGGGCAGCTCCGCGAGGAACAGCTCACGCTCACGCCGCCAACCACAGCCCCATCTCCGTTAGTCAAACTCCCCAGCTCCCCACCGCACCCACCCACTTCATTAAACCTCCCAGCAACCTCCAAGGGCCCCTGGCCACCAAGGATCCTGGGGTGTATTTTAAAAGCTCTAAGACATTCCCCCCTTGTTTGATGCCATCAGACACCACAGCACACAACCAGGGTGGAACAATTTCCGCCGACACATTTAACCGGGAGAATTATTGTTCCCAGCAATTTCTTTTGCACTCTTTTAAACACATTTTAAAATCCAAACGGGAAGCGACATTTGCCTCGGAGAATCCTTTTCAGCGGAGAGAGACAAAGGTTTCTAAAACAGGACCCCACCTGCACACTGCTACTCCAGAGCCATTCAACAACGCCAGCTCACCAAAGACAAGGATAAACTTCACAAAAACGGGGGGAGCGAGGCACCCAGAGGAGGCCAGGGGAGCTCTTTTGCCATTGACAGGGAAACTGGCAGGCATTGGGTTGCACAGGAAACAGAAGGTAAATATGTCTGAATGCCTGTTTATAATATCGCCTGAATGGGGGTTTTCTAATCCCCAGAGATTATGTTTTAGTGCAGCCAACTCTCATGAAATGTTGTGGTTTTCTTAAAGGCGCAGCTCCTGGAACACAGCGGTTCTGTACAACACCCCTTTACAGCTCCCAGCCTCCTTACAGAGGCAAGCTCAGAAGCATGACCCAGCACAACCTACGAAAAAAGGTTAAGTGGAAAGGATTTCCACACCTCCCTCTTCTTCCTTCTGTTTCAGCTCTTCCAGTCCTGAAATCTGGGAGAGACAGGGCTGGGGCTTCATGAAGAAATCACATGAGCACCCGTGAGGAGAAACTTGAAGTCATTAAAAAAGTGAAAGTCTCCACCCCTCCGTAAATGGTGCTACACAATGGGGCTTGGCCAAGCCAAACAGGGCCATCTTATCCTACTTAATCTGAACGGTCAAGAATCCATTCACCTCAGGGAAGAAAAGCTTTTCTAGAAATATCTAAGAACAAGTATGCGCTATGTACCAGACTTGAGACTGTGAAGCTTTCGATGCTCACGAAATAGGAGTGCTAGTGTCTAACGAACAAAACTGCTTGCAGCCTGAAAGACATTAACCATCAGCAGCAAAAAAGTATGCAAAGTACATGCTTGAGTTCTCCGCCAGAGCTGCCTTCCCCCTACAGATTAGAAGCACTGAGGTTTTCCAGGCAAAACACTAACACATGATGAAAGTCCTTCTGCTTCCGGGCACTCTGCCCCACATCTTCCAGCCTTTGATTCAAAGTTCAGAGCCCTAAATTATAAGTCACCAACAAGCAGAATAAGCCACAACTCGATTTGTGGTTTATTATCATTTGTGCCACCACGGTCCCTAGCACGGGTAATAGCTCACAGACCCACTGGCCAGCTTCTACCCTCTCTACCTCCCCACCTCCACCAGCTCAAGAGCACGGGCACCCACATCGCTCATTATGCCCGCCACGAGCAGCACTAATTATCAGGAAGGACATTTTAAACTTGAGGCCTGCACCTGCAGGCTGTGCCGGCGGGAACATCTGTGTTAAAACAATAGGGAAACAGCATTCCCGGTGTCAATACTCACCACGAACATGAACACGGTGTAAAAGATCAGAGCCATGGCACTGAATGACTGTATGGAGGCCATCATGTTCCTCTGGAGGCTCAGGGGAAGTACAATGCACAGGGAGACGGCAAAGAGCAGGACTATCCGGAAACTGCCCGACACCTGGAAAAGGGACCTGCATAAAGAACTGGAGCACGGAGGATACTCCAAACACCCCACCAAATTAGCAAAGTAACTCCCCAATGTGCTTCATTTTTCCAGAGTGAGAAACAACGCAAAGCCAGGACAGATTTTGAAAGTGAAATTCTGCTTCCATTCGTATTTAAAGATTTGATGCTGCAAGCTTGCCACTTCTGCAGCTAGGTCTGTGATTAGCTTATGCAGTCACTGGGTGCCACTGTTGCTCTACACAGTGCGTGACAGGTCCATCCTGAAGTGGAAGTATTTGGGGGGGGGGGTGGGGGGTGTTTAAATGCTAATCCAGCACAAGCTACTTAGGTATGTTCATGCAATTAAATAAAAAACCGAACTTACTTGGGAGACAGGAGATTGAAGACTTGAAAATTCTGATCCAGAAAATTAATCAAAGCCTCACACTGGCATTTATTATAGCAAAACACTCTGAAACGCTTGGAAATATTTAATACCTAATTTGGCTGCAGCCACAACACGTCTTCTTAACTTCACAGTCCCTTAGTCGGAGCTCAGCAGCACCAGGCGGAGCAGATAACAGCCCTGCCAAAAACCCTTCCACGCGTCCATTTTGCTTCCCCGCACAGCCCTCGCGCCGGCTCCGAGGGCTGCTGCTCACAGCTCTCCAGGAAGAGCAGCAAGAGCCTCCTGCCCACGAGGAGCACCTCTTGCCACCACGCGCCCTGAGCCGACACCAGGCTCCTCAGACAGCTTATTTTATCTTAAAGAGGAGGCAGGCACACCGTAACTTTGGCCACCAAAACAGCAAGGGACAGGGCAGAAATCCCTCTTGAAGTAGAGGGCTGCAAGGAGGGGAGAGCTGGGACAGAACAGCCACTACCCGGTGGGGAAGGAATTGAGACAGGAAGCATCATCTCCTCCAGGAATCCGCTCCAGAATTAAGCGAGACCAATTTAAAAAGAACTTCTCTGTTGGAGGTGCCTTATTGGAGGTTTTACACATCTGATTGCTCGCCACGCGTCCGGGCTTCCAGGACCTCATAGAGCTCAACGCTCCGCGCACGAGGCGCGCCACTAAAGCTCAGATGAGCCCACGGCGCCTCGTGGGCTGCCGAGCACACTGCTAAGGCTGGAGGCTCTTCGCTGTATCTACGGCACACAGGGCTCGGCGCAGGAAGAACCGGGACCGCCGTCTGCGTTGCAGACGTGAGCTGGGGAGGGGGGGGGGAGGATTTATTTACCTGAAATCCAAGCAGCCGGGCAAAGAAGTTGGACCCCAAATCGCCGATGACGACGTAGAAAGCAATGCACGTTCCCAGCATCAGCCCAATCATGCTGCAAAACCAACAAAACGCGCACAGGTGAGGAGGCTGGAGCAGGAATCCTGACAGGCAGCTCCTGCTCCTGGGCGGGTGCGTCAGCAGCCACCTCCCCGGAGGGTCTGTACTCCGCGCAGCCCTCGCGAGAGGACGAGGCTTTGTTAAGGCTTAAGGCTACCTTCGAGGCTGGGCTGGGAGCAAGAGCCATCCTACATCCACTGCAGCTGCTGGTGAAGGATTAAGGCAAAGGTTTAGCACCAACAAGGTCTGACCGGCTACACCCCGCGCGCAGCTGCAACAGCTGAAGATTGGTTAGGGACCTACTGCACGCCCCGCTTACCGAGCAACGTCCCGAAGAGTTAAATAGAAACAGCTGAAACGGTACATTTAAAGCAACTTAAAATCTTGTGCAGTTGTTCACTTGTGTTCAGAGGCAGAGCAGCCTCAGCGTGCCTTGCTTCAGCGTACATCCACCCTCTAACATGACTTTCTGGCAAGTCAGGGTGGAGATGAGCCCCCAACTTTGCTGAAGCCACGCCGAAAACGCTTTTGGCAACCAGTAGTAAAGGAGGTTTTCTGTCTGGAAGGATACACTGGGCTGCGAGCTCGTGCTCCCAGCCGTATGAGCGGGCTGTGCGCCGCTACCGGTGCGGAAGGGGAGGGCCACACTTTTATCCTCAGGTTTGTGAAGTGCAGGCCCGCAGCTCTGCATTCAACCCCAGCAAAATAAAAACCAGAGATGCCCATCCACACCTAACAGCTTGGCTAGAGACACTGCTCCGGTAACAACCCGTGCACGGGTTGAACCGCTGTTTGAAGCCACAGAGAAAACAAACTTTGCAGATGGCAAGAACTCCATGATTTCTTGGGAAAACAAACAAACAAACAAACAAACAAAAAAACACAAAAAAACAAAACCAAACAAAAACATTTAAAAGAATCAGCAAAAGATTCTCTCAAGTCCCACGCCCTGCAGCAGAGGCCTACCATGAAAGCCTCGATACCAAGTCAGCTCTCAAACTTCTTTCCACAAAAAGGACCACACTTTAATGAAAAGATTGTCTTATGAACTGCTTCTCCTCCCATTCATGATTGCATGGACCACTTTCCCTCCCAGTTCCAATTATATAACATCCCTGTGGCAATTACAGCAATTGCTTGCACAGACAAGTAACATCTGAGAAATATCCTGTGTATTTTTAGCGTGGTGCAGCAGTTTGCAGCTGGGAAGAGGGAAGGAGCCAGCACCACCGACTGGCCAGGGCTCAAGACGCCTCCACCAAAGAATCTCTGCTGGAAAAAGCAGCGCCGTAACGCCGTCCCCCTCGCCCATCACAAGTGCTGAGTGAGACCTACGGGGGAGCTTCTACCTGCACGGGGGTCATCCGAGGAACCAGGCTCTGTCCCGAAACAGAGACAGGATCTCTCCCCATCTCCCAGCGCCCGCCGCGAGCAGGACCGGAGCAGCTACAGGGTGGATCCGAGGTGCTGAATGCTCTCCCTCCCGCTAACTCACGGCAATCTTGGCAGGGATTCCACCCCTGGAAAACGGCCACGAGTGCCATGCCCGTGATTTCACAGCACACGCAGCAGAGCGGGAGATGAGTTCATTCCCTGTCTGGAAAGCGCCCCCGTCTCCTCTCGGGAACGGGTGGGATATGCCGAAGGCGACACCTGCGAGCCGTGCTCAGGGGATCTCACTTACCCCCCTGTCCAAATTCTAGGTGGCAAGGAAGACTTCTGGGACCAGAGGAGGCAGGAGGGTAAGAAATGAGAGCGCAGCAAGGACACAAAATGCTACAGAGCAGTATTTTACATTAAAGAAAAACAAACTATTCAAGCTTTAAATAAGTAGCAGATTACCTTGTTTCCACCAGCATTTTTCCTGCTTTTCCATAGGCGTGAAATGCTGGCATAAGAGATAAAAAAAAAAAAAAAAAAAAAAAAAAGTTGCAGTTAGTCAAAGAAAGGTCCAGAACGTGGCACACACATCAGTTCAAAATTAAACAATAATAGTGCAAAGGGCAGTGCAGCAGGAACCCACCGGTGTTGTGTGTTGGGGCTGTTTCCCTTGCCCGCCCTCCCACTTTCTTTTTCAGACGTGCCCTCTGAAAACTGAAAACCACATAAGACAGGAACAAAGATGAGGAAAAGATAGAAAGCAGGTTCTCTTTTTTTTTTTTTCTATTTTTAAAAAAAAAGCGGTGTGAAGTAGCAGCCACACATGGCAACCATTAAAAGAAAGTCAGCGCGGAAGAGAAAATATGCATGTATAAGATGCTGTGTGGCAAAAAGTTACTGCAGTGCAAAATTTCAATCAAACTCTCATTTTTATTTTTATCTTCCCACTATAACTGAACCGCCTGACGTTGCTGGATGGGAGATCTGAGATGGTGCCCAGAACGTTCAATCCCATACCCAGAATACCCAGTACTCACAACCCACACCAAAGGGGCTGCTGCCAAGAGAATTTTTTTTTTTTTTTCCCCTCCCATACTTCTAGCAGAAAATGATCAGTAGTCTTTAAATCATTGTGTTTTTTCTTAAAAAGAAAATGCCAAGAAAACTCCGCTTGTATTTTTAGATCTTACTGGGTAGAATGGGAATTAAGACCTCCAGTTCCAGAGACCACATCACCCGATTCTGTCAGTCTTTAACTGCAGAGGTCCAACACGAAAACCACCACCCTGGACTCCCCCCTTTGTCTTCTCTCAAGGTACAACACGCATTCCTGGAGGCCACCAGAAAACAAACTTTATTTGCTTCTGGAAGCATCTTCTGCTATTTTAAATATGAACTTACAAACTCTGATTTCTTTGGACTCTGCTTGAGCTAAAAATTAAGGAAACAAGATGTTCTTCCACAGAATGAGAAAAAAGCATGGCAGGAGACCCACAGCAGAAAAATAAACCGGAGCTGTTATGTGGGGTAGCACCGAAAATAGCCGATGGCTCAGTGACAGACCGGGTGGAACAGCCGCCACCAGGCACGCTGCCCGAGTGTGAAGAGCGATCGCACCGCTTCGGCCTCCAGCTCCCACCTCGTTTGGGAACTCGTGACGATAAGGGGAAAAGGCAACAGCCTTGGGGGGGTTCAGTCACTCAGCCAAAGGGCCAGGGATGAGAGAGAGGGGGGGGGAAAACGTCCCCCCTGGGGACTGGGTCATTAAGGAGCCAACCTCCAGAAGGGCTGCACATGCTCCTGCGAGCTCCGTCCTCCCGTCGCGCAGAAAGGTGGGTGCCCCCAGATAACAGCTACAGCTGCCGGAGGCTGAGAAACACTCGGCCTCCTGGGCTGTAAGAGATGTTCTAATGAGAACAAGCCTTCAAACGATATGCCAGATGTCCCCATCTGGGACACGGGAAAAATTAGATCCTTTATCTTCTCAAGGAGGAAGGAGATGATGACTGTAAAATAAATTGTCCAGTCAAGCATCTTTGGAATGGGATCTCTAGATGCCTAACAAGCTGGGCAGAGCTGAATCTGCTCGGTAATTAGAAAAGCCCTTTTAAACCAAGTGGTTACTAGAACAGGCAACCCGTGTTTCAGCACTTTTCTCTGCAGGGAGCGGAGCCGAGCGGCTCCTGGGGGTGCAGCGTGCTGCTGGCAGGGTCGGCACCCGGCACAGGCAGTCTGCAGAGACCCAGGCCACGTTCAGCAGCTGTAAGGGGAGGCATGAACTCATCTCCCGGTCAAAGGCTGTCTGGGAACTGCATCCCGCTTCCTGTCCTCATCCATCAAAGGCCCTTCCTTTCCACGCAGTGCAGGAAAACAGCGGTGAAAAGCGAAATATTTTTAATACCCAGCCCCTTCAGGCACCGAGCGCTGCCGAGCAAAGACGTCTGGGCTAGATATCAGCCTGTTACAGCCCTGGCTCTTTTGTAGCTGTAACGATCGCCCTCAGTGTTCCTCCGGAAGGGACTGGCTGACTGAAGTTAATTTGCAAAACTTTCTTACATCTTTCAGCCCTGCCAAAGCCTCCCACAGAATCAGCTGCAGGGGCTGCCAGGATCTCTCTCGCAGATGTACCAGGGCACAAGCCCGCGGTGACAAAGGCTGTCTGTGTGGAGCTGCTCAACCTTAATGCATTAGGATGCATTATAGGAGCGCTGCCTTTCCTCTCGGGGCTGTCCCTCCCGGTGGCACCTCTCCCAGGGCAGAGGGAGGGAGCAGAGGCATTTCTTTCAGCGCCAGCGTTTTGCGTGCCAGGAAGTTTAGAAGCATTACTGGCCCTCTGTGTATTCGAGCCCCTTGGCTTCGGGGAGCGCAGAGGATCCCTTCTTCCCGGGAGACGCTCCAAGGTGGAGGGGACTCTCTGTACTTCGGGGAAGCGGCACACAAAGGCGTGTTGTGAGGGGGCAGGGAGAGGCAACGCGGGCAGCTGGGCTGGGAGCGCTGGGGACAAGCCAGACGCTACCTGGGGCCTCCCCCCTTCCCTCCGGCATCACAGGCACGACCTCCGAGACCACAGGACTTCTTGGTCTTTTCAGTTTCTAGCAGAGATAACTTGGCAGAAGCCAAGGCGTTGCAGCCCAGCAGCAGCCCCTCGGGCGCACTGAGGACGGAGGAAACCCCTCTGTCAACAACATGGTCAGGGAGCGAGCCGTGCCTTTCTTTAGCTCTTTTACCAAGGGCAATGCCAGCCAATTCCCTCCTCCCCCAGAGAAATAAGGGAAGCCGAGTAAAAGACGACTTTTCCTGTCGTTTCACGTGCCGATGGAGAAGACTGGAACCCGACCACCTCCTCCTACCCCCCAAGTTGGTCAGAATCAGAAGAGAGGGCACAAGCAGAGGCCAGCCCTGGCGCCAGCGCAGAGGCGACGAGCTCCGAGGAAGAGGGCTGGCAGGTTCTGCCAAAAACCCACACATGAATCTTGCAGATGTTTTTATTTTCTTGACCACTTGGAACCTCGCGCGCTGTTTCCTCTCGGCTCTGCCATAAACGCGCGCACAGCTCGGATCCAGGCAGCCCGAGCTCCATGCCAGGCTCTCTGCTGGCAGAACCCGATGTCCTCGGCAGCACACTGGGTGGGGAAGCTCGCGGCTTTCGTGCCGAGACCAATAATTTACACCAGACACCCGCTACGCCAGCTCCCGAAAACTTGGGTTTTGATCAGTCAGTGCTGCATCTCCTCCCCTGCCCTGCAGAGTCAAAACAATGCTGCGCCTATTAACTTCACTGTCAAGAGCAGAATTAAACCCAGCGCGTTCCCCTGGGGACATGGAGTAGCGGGGGGAAAGAGACTGACAGAGGAAAACAACACAAACTGAAAACTACATCAAGCAATCATTTGCTATTCCAACAACATCAGTATGAAAGTTGTAAATTAAGAGGTCAAAGTAAAGCTGCAGTTAAAAAAAAAGAAAAAAATGAGCCCTAAAGCTGAAAATTCTCACCGAGGCCGGGGTAGGTCCTGCGCTTGCTGAGATTGGCCGATTTCACCAGGAACATGCAGGATTGATGAGTCATCCAAGAACAGAAAATCAGCAGCAGAGCTCCCAGGACAATGCCACACTGAAACGGGAGGAGAGCAGAGGAAAGGCAAGCGCGAGATGGCAGGTCAGCCGTGCCGTCCAGCCTGACTGCCCTCGCTCACACATTTCCAGCCACACTTCTGCCTGATAAAGAAGTTCCCTCAACTTCAGAGCAGCCTGAAGAAACACAGGCGTCTGAGCTCAAATTTTAATCTCTCTGCAGCCCAAGGACAATGCGGAGCAGCCACCTGTTTCCCACAGTTTCCAGCTGCACCAATTTAAGCACCAAAGAGCGAACTGGGAGCTGCTCACGGAGGAGAATTTCCAGGGCTCCCCTTGTGCCTTCTGCAAGATCACAGGGAGCGAAGAAACACCGCTCCTAATCCCGAGGTGCAAACACCACTGTAAATGTATTTAGCAAGGACTATTTGAAAGTGTAAACTGATTACCAAGCTCACTACCAGCGCGGGACCTTAAACACTGGACACTTTTTAAGCAGGTGGCTTTAGAGAGGCACAAGGGATGCCAGCTCTCCATCACAGCTGCCCTTTTTCCTGCTGTGTTTCAATCTGGTGCCGGCCGTGGGGATGGCGGCAGCTCCTGGGCAGGGGGGAGCGGGGGGCACAGCTCAGCCTAAGGGCTCAGCAGCCGGTTTCGTGAGCTGAGCCGCATTTATCACACGGATAAATTCTTCTGGTTCCGCCCCCACACACGTACACTTCTACTCCCGAGAAAGGCAGAAACGGTCACACGGAGACCTCACGGCAATGAAAAATCACGAAGTTTGGTACAAGAGATGCCCGATCTCCGTCTTCAGCGCTGCTTTTGCTGAGCATTCCCCCGCCAACCACCCCGAAACGCTGAACCACCCCCGGGGCCTGGGGCCTCCGGCCGCCCCATCGCTCGCACAGCCCCCCCCCCCCGCTCCCCCCACGGGGAACCCCCCGCTGTGCCCCCCCCCCCCCCCGGCCCCGGGGGAACACGGGCAGGACACACCCCCCCCCCCCTGCAACCCCCGCTCGGTTCGGTGAGACCCGACACCCCCCCAACCTTCCACGGGAGGCGAGGGGCCGCCCCGGGGGGGGGGTCCCGGGGGGAAGGAGGGGAGCGGGGCGGGCGGAGCGCTCACCTGCCGGAAGCAGAAGGGCACGGTGAGCACGCTGACCCCCACGATGCTGTTCACCACGTTCATGATCAGGCCCCAGTTGGAGCCCGCCGAGCCCGCCATGGCCGGCGGCGGGGGCGTCCCCGCGGCACCGGGGCCCGGCTCGCAGCCGCCTCCCCCCCCCACCGCAGCGGGCTCCTCAGCCGCCCCCCCCCGCCATGGCCGGGCCCCGGCACCGGCCACAGCGGCACTTCCGGGTTCCGCTGCTCCGCTGGCGCTTCCGGGAAGTCACGGCCGGCGGGGGGGGGGGGGGAGAGGGAGGGCGGGCAGCGAGACGCGCGGGGCAGAGCGGCGCTGAGAGGGCTGTTCCTGCCGCCGTGGAGGACCGTGCCCGCTGCTCCTGGGGGTGTTCGTCCGTCCGTCCCCACCCCCCCCCAGCCTGGGGCACCCACCCGGGCGTGGGGGGGCGCGTGCCCGAGCCCCACGCGCGCGCAGCACGCAGGCGCGTGCCTCCGCGCGCACGCGAAGGCGCGTGCACAGGCGCCCGGGCGCGCGCCCCCGCACGTGCACGCACAGCCAGCCCTACACGCGTGGGCACGCGCGCGCATGTGGAGGCGCACGCAGGCACACGCACCCACGCACACGCATCCGCGCGTGTGTGTGCACGTGCACGCGCGTATGCATCCGCACACGGATATGTACATGCACACACAAGCGCATGCGTGCACACGCATGCACACCTATGCATAAACTCATGTATATACACATGCACATGCACACACGTGCATACACACGTAGCCATGCATATGCATACATGCGTGTACATGCACATGCCTACACACATGCATCCACACACATATATGTACATGCACACGTGAGCACATGCACTGCACACACATACACACCTATGCATACATGCAGGTATATGCACATGCGTACACACATGTGCATACACACGTATACGTACATGCACACGCATGCACATGCATACAGCACCTATGCATACACGGATGTATATGCACATACATGTGCATCCACACACATGCGTACATGCACATGCACGCGCATACATGCACGTTATATGCATACACACACATGCGTATGCACACACACACACATATACATACACACGTGCATGTATGTGTCCGTGCACACACCGTGCCGGTCTCTCTGCCGGCAGCGGGGCTCCCCCAGCACCTGCGCTCGGGGGGGGCCGAGCACCCCGAGTTTTCTCCCCCCGGGGGGCCTCGCGGTGTGCGGGTAACCGGCTGTGGGTGCTGCGCCCCACGCCGTGGCTACACGCAAACCCCCCACGGCCACGGCAGCCGCTCCCCCGGGGGGCTCCCCGCCTGCTCGCTCTCCATCCCCCGAGCAGGAGAAAGCAAAAAAAAAAAAAAAAAAAAAAAAAAAAAAAAAAGGCTGAAAGGGGGGGTGGGGGGGGGCAATCTGGCGGGCTCCCCCAGGACCGCGCACCGCGGCAGGTCGGCACGCCGGCTGCACGCTCCCCTCGGAACGGAGCACGCGGCGCTTGTATAATTTGCAGCAATTGCGACGGGGAAACCGCAGGAATTTGCTCTACAAAAGGTTCGCAGGGAGGTGAGCGCCGCTGCCTAATTCCCTCCAGGTGCCGCGCGGGTTCGTGGGGGGGGGGGGGGGGGGCCGGCGGCGGGAGCACCCCCTGCCCCTCTCTTCCTCCTGTACCGGGGGGGGCCGTGCCCGTGTCCCTGCGTGTCCCCAGGGTGGGATTGGGGGGGTCCCCCTCGGGATTGTCGCTGCCCAGGTTTTGGGGAACCCCAGTCGTGGCCTGGAGCACCCGGGCGTGGGACGTGGCACCCCGCCGTGGGGTGCTGTACCCACGCACAGGACCACAGGGCTGCAGGGAAGGGGGACCCCTGGGTGCTGTGGGGGTTCCCCCGTGCCCCCAGGAACACTGCAGCGAGGCCCATGTGTCCCCCCTAAAAAGCTGCCACGGCTGCAGACCCCACCCAGGACCATCCCTGGGGGGCCCCCACGTAGCGGGTTGCAAACACACGCCCACCAGCCTGTGCCAACAACCCCCCCCACACACACCCCCCTGTGCAAATCCACGGACAAGTGTGCACCTACGCGCACACGTGTGTGGGCACACGGGGGGATTGGGGGGGCAGGAGCACCCCACAGCCCTGCCCTGGCACCCACCGGGTACTGCGGGATGGAGCATCCCCCACCCATGGGTGCACCCACCGGGGAGGGTAGAGCTGCCACCCGCCGTGCCGGGCAGGGGAGAGCACCTTGCTCCTGCGCGGAGGAGACATCTGCAGCAAATTAGAGGGGAAATCATCTTTATCCAATTAGCGATACACGGCCTGGAACTCCGCGCTGGCAGAAAAAAAAAAAAAAAAAAAAAAAAAAAAAAAAAAAAAAAAAAAAAAAAAAAAAAGGGGCTCAGGTGGCTCCTCCGCAGGCAAGTGGCCACCGGCAACCAGGAGCCCGATGCCGGGGGGATCGCTGTGTTTCCGCTCACCGCGCCCCCAGCCCTGCTGCAATCTGAATGCGACCACGACACCCAGGCTGGCACCGGGGCTGCACCCCGAGTTGGGTGCTGCAAAGGGGCCCGAGGAGCCCTGATCCCCCCCTACCCCCCTCCCCACCCAGTGCCAGCTCCCCCATCGCTCCCCTTCCCCAGCACCCTTGTGCATTTGGGGGAAGGGGGGGGGATAAGGCTCCCCCACCCCGGCCAACCCACCTCCTGCCCCCTAAAATCAACGGGGGCTCCGCACTGCCGCTGCTCAGCAAACGGGAAAAGGGGACGGGCTGAAATAATTAGACAAATAAGGACTAAAATGAAGGAAGGCAGAGCCGGCCATGGCCCCGGGGGGGTTGGAGGGTTGGGGGGGGTTGGGGGCACCCCCCAGCCGCCGACGGGAGCCGCTGCGACGGGCAATTACCGCCAGCCCAAAGGGCTCCCTGCGAGCCAGCAAATATATTTATTGCTCGCAATAACTGCCCGATATTGCCGCGGCGGCCGCGTGCTTGCTGCTGCTTCCTCCTCGCAGTTCTTTTATTTATTTATATCCCCCCCTCCCCAGCACTGCCCCCTCCTCCTGCATCACCGCTCCCAGCACTTGTCCGTGCCCATCCCCGGGGATCCTGCCTCCAGCGTGGGCCGGGGGGCACTGTCTGCGTCCCAGCTGGGGGCAAACCCCTTCCAGCAGCACCGGGGCTGTTTCCCCACCACAAACCTGCCGAAAACAAACCCAAAACTCAATGAAAAGTGTCAAAACCCCCCTGTACCCCCCCGGGAGCACAGCTAGCTGCCGGCACGAGGAGACACCAACTGGGGGACGGGGAGAGCGGGGCCACACCGGGGACCCCCAGCCCCGCTCAGCCGGGGACCCCCCGCGCCTCGGAGCCCTTTCCCAATCCTGCGCCACGGCCCAGATCGCTCCCGTGTGGGATTTGGAGCCACGGAGAATGAAACGGCCCCCCGGGAAGCTGCCGGAGCCGCGATTCTTGTCATTAGGAAAGGTGGTTGGGGGTTCTCCCGCTGGTTGAAGAAAATGCAAACCCACCCCCAACCAAACCCACCCCCCCCTACGCCACCACCCCACCAGCCCTGGGAGGTCCAGCAGCGACTGGGGAGGGGGGAACTGGGGGTTTGGCTGACGCTGCTCCACGGGGTCCCACGCGCCTCCGTGCACGCGTGTGCTTGGGCAGTTCACACGTGTGCACGTGCAGAGGCGCTGAGGTGGGTTTGCACCTCTCACGGGTGACGCCCCACCCACCCTTCCCTACTCACGGGTGATTTTTCGGCGAGGTTTCACCCTGACCCGGGGGGGTGTGGGGTGTCTCTGTGCCACAACGTGCCGTGAGGTTTGTGCGAACCACCCCTCCAGGACCACAACTCTCCCCCCCACCCCCCCGGGGGGGATCCCTGCACCCCCCTTCGCTGCGGTGAGGGTCCTGGAGGCACCGGAACCCCCTTCCCAGGCTACCAGGGCAGAGCCCACCCCCCACCCAAGGGTCTGCACCCACCCACCCACCAGCCAGAGCACCCGGTGGGGAGCCAGCACCCACCCCAGAGCCACCCAGGACCGCGGCCGGCCCCGGTGACAGATGCCTGGCAGAGCCCGAGAACAACCCGGTGAGTATTTAAAAACATAAATTAAAACAAATTGCGTTTTTATATTGCAAATAAGGGCAGTTTTATCGGTTTTATTGCATAACAACCATTAATGAAGTGCAGTTTCAGGCACCTTAATTGCTCGGAGACTAAAGTTCAATCCGGCTCGGCGGAGCAGGCTGGGAGCCGCCATGTGTCACGCGAGAACCTGGCAGGTTGGAAATGTAAATAAATTTATGGTCATTATTAGGAAAATGGAGAAGGACCGGGTTTATCCCGGCGGTTTATCCACGAGGGAACGGCGTGGGTTAAACGGTGTGAACTGTCCTCGAGGGGGGGGGGGGGGAGGCGAGGGCTCCTCCCCTCACGCTGTCACCCCATCGATGGCGGGGTGGGTGTCCCCGGGCCGGCGATCCAAGCCCCCCCCCCCGCCCCCCCGAGCGGAACACACGCGTGGGCGTGCACGGAAGGCACAGGCCGCGTTGGTGCAACATAAAGGAGGGACGTGCGGCCACACACAGGTCCGCGGCACCGGGGTACACCCTCGGGGGAATTGAGGGCGGGGGGAACACGACACGGACACGCAGGGGAGGGTCTACGCGCGAACACGCGGCCACGCACACGCAGGACACGCACCACACCGGGACACCGCGCGCGCGCGCGCGCACCCGCCCCACGCGAGCCCCGGCACCATCACGCCCGCGCGTGCAAACGCTCCCCCCTCCCATCCCCTCGTACCCACGCGTGCAAACGCTCCCCCCCACCTCCTCCCGGGTACCCACGCGTGCAAACGCGGCCGCGCCCCCTCCTCTCCCGCTGCCGCGTGGGGCCGAGCCCCGCCCCCCTGGGGCGCGCGCCGCCGGCGTGGGCGGAGCCACGCGGGAGAACCGCCCCTCTACTGCTCGCATGAATGGGCGCGCCCCTCCCCTTGTCCCTTATAAGGCATCCGGCGCGGCTCGGGGGGCGGGGCCTAGCCGGGTCCAACCCACTCCTCCCTCGTCCCGCCCCTTCTCCGCCGCTCCGCCAATCAGAACGCCGCGCCGGGCCCCCCGCGGGCGCCGGCCTTTGTTTGTGGAGGGCGCCGGGGCCAATGGCTGCTCGGGAAGGGGGAAGGGCGGGCCAATGGGAGCGTGGGGGGAGGGGCGGGGCGGTTACGTCTGGCCACGTGCGCGCGGAGCCGCCACCGCCGGGGACGGCGGACACCCCCGGGACGTGCCGGGACCCCCCCCTCTCCCGGGAACATCCCCCCCACACACACCCGCAGCCGCTCCCCACGCGTGTGGCCGTGACGCCCCCCCGGGGCCCTGCACCCCGCGGGCACCCCCAAAACCCCACCTCAACGTGTGTGTGTGTCCCCCCCCCCATCCAGCACCTCCCCGCCCCATCACACCCCACGGGGGGGGGGGGGAGGGAGGGGTCCCACGGCGCGGGGGGGGCTGCCGCGGCTCCCCCCGCACCCCTCGGGCTCCATCCTGGGGTCGCTGTGGGTCGGGGCGGCATCACGGCTACACCTGCGCCCCCATTGTCGCCGTATTGGGGGGGGGGGGGGCTGTCACGACATGGGGGGGGGATCCAGGGTGGGCCCCCACAGGGAGGGGATGGAGGGGGCTGCAAAGGGCCACCCAAAGCCCCCCCAACCCCCCGCCCGGGTTGTGTCCGGGACCTGCCAGCCCCTCCTTGGCCAGGAGAAAAATTCCCTGCTTGCCGCCCGGCCGGCTGCGTGCCGGCGCCAAGCCACGCTCGCGGCAAAGCCGGTGGGCGAAGTCCCGGGCAGGCCGGCGGTGGGCGAGCGCGGCCACTCGAGGCGAGCCCTGTGCCAGGGAGGGGACGGTCACGGTCGTCCCCACCCTCAGCTCCCGCTTCCCACCTTCGACGGTTCCAAACTCCCGCCGGGACGCTGCCGGGGCTCAGCCTCGCGCTGCCGTTCCCGGCCAGGAGCCGCGAGTGGGTTTGCCAGGATCCGGCTTCGCTTCTCAGCTTCTCATCCCCCCCTCCCCACATCCCCCCCCCCCCCCCCCCCCCCCCCGCACCACGAGCATCCGTCTGTCCGTCTCTCCAGGCCTGCTTGCGATGCTGCCCAAACCGCGGGCAGCCGCCCGGCAGAGGAGCAAGTGCCGGTGTTGCCGGTCAGCCCCACGGGCGACACCGCCAGCGCTCTCTGGCAGGCGGGGAAGCGCCGGTGCATCTCCCCCCGGCTCAGGGAGAGAACAAAGGAGGGCAGCTGCGGCGGAGGGAGTGCCGCTGCCGGATGCGCTGCGGCTCGGCTAATCCTCCTCGGCGCCCCCGGCACACCCCGCTGCTGCCCGTTGCCCCCCGGCACGGCCCCGCGCACCGGCTCTCACGCCCCAGGGGGGGAACCAGGCGGCTCAGCCCGCGGCGTGAGGGGCCGTGTGGGAGCCCCAGGGAAAGAGGGGGGCTCGGCCTGGCTTTCCCCCCCCCCCCCCTGCAGCACCGGCCCGCTGCCCTCACGGCACACGCCGCTCCGGCCCGCTGGGCGCGGTGGCGTTCACCCTGGCTGATGCCACACCATCAAGGAAACGTCTTACATTAACGACTTTTGTCACCGAAGTCATTAACATAATAGGACTTCCACATCAAAATTGAATATTAATGCTACACCCGGCTGCGGAGTGAGACGGATAATTGCTCTAATACATTTTCCAGTAGGATTTTCGCATCGCGGCAGCTATTGCATTAGCAAACCTGATTATTACCGCGGCCGATACAATGGGACAGTTAATGGGAGTTAAATTCCTTCCTTTTTCCCTGGGACCCCCAAGTGGCCATGGCTCCGTGCCCCCCGCCACCCCCGGGCTGCAGGGTGGGGGGCCAAGGTCGTCTCGTCGTCCCCCCCCCCAGCTGGGAGCGAGGGTGACGGCAGCACCGAGCTGCCTCTTTGCTCCGCGCCTGCAAACACGACCCTTGGCCGCGGCACGCCGGCAAACCCGCAGCCAGCTGGAAACGCGCCGGGAGGCCAAGCCGCGGTGGCAGGAGCTGGGGACCTTGCCAGGTCGGGGGGCGGGACCAGTGCATGGGTTGCAGCCTCCTCGTTGCACCCCAAAACACGCCCAGGCCAGAGGAAGACTCCCCCCCCCGCCTCCGACCCCCCGTGCAGGGACAGGCACCGCACCTCAGGGCCCTCTCTTGCCCACCCATGGGTGCTCCTCTGCTCAGGGTGCTCTGCGGTGGCACAGCCCCAGCCCGGCTCCTGCTGCCAGCGGGCACTGTGCGTGCATGCACTGGCACTGCGCGGCAAAGCCCGGGGGGGCTGCAGCAACGTGGGGCCCCTGCACCCGGGTGGGAGCAGTGCGATGGAAGACTTGGGGGACGGGCACCGTGCGTGCAGCAGTGGCGGTGGTGCAGGGCTGGGTGCTGTGCATGCCTGCAGCAGCTGTGCAGGGGTGGGGGACTGGGTGCTGTGCATGCCTGCAGCAGCAGTGCAGCACTGGAGGGAGAGGGGACACAACACACGGGATGACAGGCACTGTGCATGCAGCAGCAGCAGCACAGGGATGGGGGGGGGGACAGCTGCCGTGCATGCCCAAAGCAGTGGTGCAGGGCTGGGGGATCGGGTGCTGTGCATGCATGCAGCAGCAGCAGCAGCGCAGCACCGGGAGCCTGGGGGGCTGTGCATGCCTGCAGCAGCGCTGCAAGGACGGGGGATCGGGTGCTGTGCATGCATGCAGCAGCAGCAGCAGAGTGCCAGGGGCCTGGGGGCCGTGCATGCCCACAGCAGCAGTGCAAGGATGGGGGCCCAGGCACCGTGCATGCAGCAGCAGTGCAGGGGGGGGGGGGGGAGATCGGGTGCTGTGCATGCATGCATGCAGCAGCGCAGCGCCGGGGCCCATTGCATATCTGCAGCAGCAGTGCAGCACCGGGGGGGGGGGCCAGGCACCGTGCCTGCAGCAGCAGCAGCGCAGGGCTCGGAGCCGTGCAGCACCCACTGAGCAGCAGCTCCAGGTCTCCGGGGTGCTGGGGGGGGGGGGGGGGGGCACAGAGCTTGGCCCGGCGCCGACAAAGGGCGGCGGGAGGGGCCGCGTTTCCCGCCCCCCCCCGGGCCCCTCCCGCCGCCCTTTGTCTCCGGCCCCAGTGGGGCCGCCCCGAGCGCGGACAAAGGCGGCTACGGGGCGCGGGGCGGGGGGGCATCATTAAACTGCCTTTAATTGCACTCATCTGGGCTCGCTTCATTGATCGACCTCGCTAGGGGAGTCCACGCGGGGGAGGGCTGCCCACGGGGGATGTCTACCCGTGGAGGATGTAGACCCATGGGGGGGGGGGGGGGAGGCTGCCTGCCCCACCGTGGGATCTGCCCCCCCACAAATGTGCCCATCTGGGGGGCCTGCCCACGGGGGATAGCTGCCCACGGTGCCCAGCGATGCAGGCTCGGGGCTCCCACATCTCCCCAAGCCCCCGGATCAGCGCCCCCCAGCCCCGGGGGGGGGGGGGGGGAGGGGGGTGTTTCCCGGCCCCTCCCCACTCCCACTCCTCACCCGGTGCTCACCGGGGGCAGGAAGAGCCTCGCAGCCACTTTTTTGTGGTGTTTTGTTTTGGTTTTTTTGCCTCTTTTTTTTTTTTTTTTTTTTTTTTTGTCATAATCAAACTGTTTCCGAGCGCTGCCCCAACCACCGGCAGCCGAACAACGCGCTGGCCCCAACCTGCCGCGGCGCTGGCCCCCAGCACCCAGCACCCACCTACCCCAGCACCCACCTACCCCAACCCCGGGATTCACCCTGCGCTCCCGTTCCGCCGCGATTCCGGGCGCTGGGTTAATCCGTAACGTGATTTATCGGGCCGGAGCCCTTTCCCCAACCGAGAGGGATCCGAGAGGGCCGCTTCAGCGCCGCCGTGGACAGCCCTGGGTGGGTGCTCCCCGGGTGGGCAGGATGCGGCCAGCCCCGTTCCCCATGCCAGGATTCCCGTGGGAGACGGTGGGGGGGGGGAGCCCCAAATCCGGCCACCGAGCTCAGCCCGCGGCGCTCTGCTCCAGCAGCTGCTTGGAAACCCCGTGGGGAGAAAAAATCGAGGGAGAAAAAGAGCTTTTTGGGGAGCAGCATGCAAGGAGGTGTCCCCAAGGGTCGCAGCACGTTCCCCACTCGCGCCGCGGTGCTCACCCCGGGCAGCGTCGCGGCGGAGGCGGCCGGGTGGGTGCTGACGGTGCGATCCCGTGTCCCGCCGTCCGTGTGTCCGTCTGGCCCCGTGGGCACCGCTCCCTGCTGCGGCTGCAGGTCCCCCCCCGTCCCCCCCCCCCCACCGTGGGCCGGGGCCGTGTCTCGCGGTGCAGCCGGCTGGCCCTGCGCCCCGGGTCCCGTGTCAGTGTCCGTGTGTCCCGCTGTGCGTCTGTCTGTCCGGGCAGTGCGGCCGCGGGGCCGGAGGGTCCCCACGGGCTGTGCCCGGCCGCTCGCTCTCCTAACTCGATTGTTGCCCCGGCGGAATGAATAGCTCCCGCGTAATCTAATAGCTTTTGCAAGTTATTCGGCTTTATTTGAGCATTTTCAATCAATTACTGTCTTTTTATTTAGGAAAAAACAAACAAAAAAAAAAAAACACAAAAAAAACCCAACCAAAATACACCGAGTCCAGCCGTGCCCCGCCGCCCTTCCTGGTGCACGGCCCCCGGCTCCCCGTACCCCCCGCAGCCCCCCCTTTAATACTGCACCCCTTTAATATTGCACAGCTTCCCCCCCCCTCCCAAACATCGCACGCTCCCCTCTCCAACTCGCACAGCCCCCCAACATCGCACCACGTGGCCCCCCAGCCCTGCACATGCCCCCCCCCCCTTGCACAGCCCCCCGAGATTGCACCGCAGTGGCCTCTCACATCCCCCTAACATTGTACTGCATAGCCCCCCCCATCGCACCGCGTGGCCCCCCCCAGCACCACACGCAATCCCCCCCAC